ATAAATCATTAATACTGTGATTGTAGCATATAGCTACGTAGACGCACACGCCTGCGGAGCTAATATCAATTAATATTTGCGTGTAGTAAAATTAAAACTTTATGCGTATTTGGTAACAAATGTGTGCGTGTAAGAGTCAGCTACGCTAGTTCTCGAAGAAATTGCTTTAAATGCAGTTTCCATATACTCCATGGTTAACCCTAATTATAGCAAGTTCAGAATGACTGGTTCAATATTCCACTAGTTATGAAACATGATGTCGATATCATTTAAATCTCACATCCCTGTCTGTAGATTGTCGACTTTTGCTTTTGTTCCAAGAAGTTTATGTTCATAGGATTCTTAGCTTTTATGTGACTAGTAATAATAAAACCTTATTAGATCCAAATAAGTTTCAATTTTTTTACCAAAATTTTTTTACGTAGACGGAAAAAGAAAGCGAGCTAGTGAGGTGAAATAGGATATTTTCGTTCTGATCTTAACTAATTATATAAAATATTACTCACTCTTTCGATTTACAACTACAAGGTAAAGGATTTTACTATAAAAAAAATTAAAAAACTTTATTTTTTTAAATAAAAAAAAAATCAAATTATTTGTTTCGGATCGCGTATATTTGTCATTTCAAAGTTGCTTAGGAACTCGATAGGTATAGTAAGTGCTAGAGTAGGCGTAGTATGTACGTGTCCCTATTAATAGCCAATCAATCTACTTGGATTTGTAAAGAGAAGAGCGTACCTACCTAATATTCTGTAATATTGAGTAACTGTGAACCTTTAGTATAATATATAACGACCGACGATGAACTTAAGTTCCAGAAACCATTCAGGAGCTAAGTCTCGGGTAATGTGAACCAGTCTAGCACGACTTTTCCAGCTCTTATACATTTCCTTATAATTAGTCTTTATTTTGAACGTACGTACGATACCATTTGAATGTAATCCACTAAAGTGAACAAATAATACATAATACTTGTTATGTTACTTAAAAAGAATTAATCCTTATTGTTGACCCTTTCGACCAGCATCATAAAATAATGTGTTTTTACATTTGGTCGGTTCGATTTCCAGATTGTTTTTATGATATTAAGTGACGGAACGAACAAGTCAAGCGCCTGGTGGTAAGCGACACGCCTATTCATAGCAATTGCAGTGCCACTTAGAACTTTAAATCGCAAAGATCTGAGGGGCAATGCCACTGCGCCCGTCAACTTGAGACATAGGTGGACAAGTTCCACGTGCCTGTAAATTTACCAGCACCTATACTCTTCTAACTATAACGCAGTAAGGCTCACATTACTGGTTGGCGGCAGAAATAGGTAAGGTGGCAGTACTTCCCTATACGAACTCTTTCACGAGGAGCCATACTGTCATTGACTTACAAATAAATGGACGACGGGTCTAATACAAAAACCACGAAAAAAATGTCCCAAGTCAACCTATTCGAAATTTAAATTGTAATGTCTTCGCAGTATCGCGCTGTCAGTAGAACAAATGAAGACTAAAGCGGAGTGTCGCGCTCTGTATACGATTTTAGCGCCTTAGAAGTGCGGACACTTTTTAGCGCGGACCCGACGTCCATATAATTGTAAGTCAATGCGATGCATACAACTTTTTAAAAATCTTTGAGTGCAATATTACATAAGTACTTTTAAAAATAAATTATTGTCTCGATTCTCGTATCAAAATATCCTATCTACAATATGTAAAGTACTTTCTCTCCGTGTATATGGGTGATATACGCAGTGCATTTGTAACAGTATTAATTCTTCGAAGTTTAAGTAGAATAACAGTGTTTGTTTTAAATCGTCATTGACAATATAATAAAAACGAATATAGACACATAATAGTTTTCTTCATTTGTATTACAAATATTTTAATATGATATATTTTCTAGACGAGTTGACTTTTATTGTATTACGTAAATGTTACAAGAACAAAAACGTCAGCGACGCGTGATTTGTTTTTTTTTTCACGTAAGTAGTTAAAACAATCTGCGTTGGTAGTTGGTATCCAATAGTGTATGCCTTATTCCAGTTTCAGAATAATCATTTTTTTCTAATTTGATGTCAGTTTGTAATGAAACTTTTTTGCGAGTAAAGCCAAGTAAACCACGACTAGCTGTGGCTCTTGAGGTTGCAGGTGGTGCTGTCAGAATCACATAACAATAATATAGAAGTGCTTAGTTTGCATGACACGTGCTCCAACATTATAGTACGTGAAGTTCCACATAGCTCAGTCCGCCATTTTTGCTGTGTAGGTACAGATCGTGTCAATTATCTCGCGCAAAACCTCGAAAATCGTAGAAAAATATCATATTTTGCTACTTTGGAGTGCAAAAATGATAGTCGCACTTGTAATATTATCTATGGTGGTGGTCGGTTTCATATCATCTTAAGTCTTATGTTTATCATAATATTTTCTTTGTTACAATAAACGAAAGTAAAGCTTATATCGTTGCAATATGGTCGCTTCTTTTTTGGAGAACTAAGTACACATCTCGAGTTCGTCGTTGTTCAGCTATTGACCGCTATGTGGCAGCACATCGAATGAAATTTCAAAATAAAACCAAAACGTCGTAACTTGCAATAATAAGTATTGAACTTTCTGCGATATGCCAACCGTGTAAAGTTCAAATTATATGAAGTGTCCAGAATTTGTTATTTCTTTTTAAATTGGAAACTACTACCACTACCAATCATTATCAAGATTTTATAGTGGTTCAAATTATGAATGTGTGAGTTTTCGCGGTTCTGATAGTAATCAAGGCCTAAGGCACTTGCTTTTTCTTCTGTGGTCAGAACGTACTTATTAAAAGAAAACCCTTCTTTTTAATTCTAATCAATTTTTTTGCGACTAGAACCGATTAATTCTCAATTTTTTCTCACTTTGTGGTGACACTGAGAACGAGATAACGGTCGAAAAAAGCATGTGAATTTAACCTAGATTTTAGTTATACAAAAAATAACTAGGAAACATATGTTATTAGTATGTGGGTCGAGGTATAAACAAAGGGAATTATACTCCTCTGTCTAATGTTTGTTTTGTACTAAGCGTCCATAGCACGTACAGTAACACAACTTATGTACCTACGTGTTTGTAACTATAGTCTCTCTATTAGTTTTGGTTTCTATCGTCAGCTTGTTTTGTAAATAAACATCTTGTTGATAAATATGTATGCATTGGTTAATTCATCGTAAATTCGATAAGTGAATTATTTTTTTTAACATTCTCGTGTGCTAACCATAATTAAAGGTTATTATTCCCGAAGCCAGAATAGACCAAAGAGGAGTGTTAGTTAATTGTACATTAAAAAAAGTGTAACTCCCGTAACTTCCCATGACTTACTTGACATTGGCAAAATTCTTCAAGAGAAGTCAGAAACTTAAAAATAGAATTAAATTAAAGACTGTTCAGTAATAAACTCAAGCTCTTTAAATTTTGGTGCATTTTTTGTCATATTTTCTTCGAGATCACACTTCCGGAATTCTCTGTCAATAAATGTTTAATATGTATTTAGTATGTAAACTTAGCTCAAAATACATTACAAATAAGCCTTTAAATGGAATATCCACATAATGTTGCGAAAGCTGTAGGATGAAATTGTATCTGTGAACGTGATGAAAATGGAGATTTTGGTTTTACAATTCAAAAATATAGACACATGTGGAATAGAGAACTTTGGTAAACTTTATTGGTTTTCCGTACAAGGACAAGAATAAATTATTTTAAATTTGTACTTTGTTTTGAAGATATAAGTTGAAAAAATTGGCATTATAGTTCTTATTGACAACTATAATGCCAATTTAGTTTTACTGTTAATAATTCTTTATTGTCATTTCGCCAAAACTGTATCTATGTGCAAATCTATTTGTACTACACAAATAGGTTTCATTTATTTTCAGACTGTGCAGCATTGTTATCATTGGTTTCATTTTCATCGCGTCATAGCCGCAGCTCGCTCAAACCATACCCCTGTCCCAAGGTGATATGAGTTTAAATCAACCTTCTTACGAGTAGTAAGGCTGATTTTACCCAATTTCTTTTTAATTTTTTTAGATGTGACGACTGGGTTTTCATGTTTATGACTGTTGCTGAGTACCTAAGTTTCTCGCAGTCATTAAGTAATTATTTCTAACCAGATTTGAACTGTCCTATCAGTTTTTATCTAAAAGTATTTGACACAGATAGTTAGAAGTGGGTTGGAATGTGCATGAGAATTGTCGATGGCCCCAGTGTAGGTGTGTGAGGTGGAGTCGAGTAGCTGGGGCTGGGACTAATTATTGTGCAAAGTCGATTTGCATTTGACCAGCTTTATTGTATTTGCTCTGTTACGCAGTTGGTGTACAGGTATTTTTGGGTCTATTGGTAAGTTAAGTCAAGTTTGATATGTTGATGTTCCTAGTTCTTAGTAGGTATTTAGTTTGTTTTAGTGGTATTGAAGAGGAGATTGTTTCAGTTATTAATTACATTAAAAACCATAGAGTCTTTTAATTTTAGAAGTTCTTGTTTTGAGAATTCATTTCCGTGAAAGCATTTCTGAACAATAGATCGAAAATAACCACTAAAATTGAAAACAATACGGCGATGTATTGTTTGTTATGGTTCTCATAGAGCACTACTTTACAATGTTCGAGAATTTATGAACGGCAGGATTAGAATTCTTGGTATGTGCGTTCGTAGATACGTTTATTGTAAAAGTAAGGAATACTTCGATACACGTAGTAATCTATAATCTAATAAATTCTCATAAAGCAAAGGTCATTAAAAAATGACGCGTGTGATACGTTTATAAATAAAAGTAAATAAAATTAGTGTGAATGTATGTATGTGGTAGGTCGCTCGGAAACACTGCATACGAATATAGAAAACGTGGGTTTCGTGCCTTTCACTGCGCGAGACATGACCAGTGGCGTTCATATTTTGCTGCTAGGGGTGTCGCTGCCGCTAACGCACTACCGCCGCAGTCGCCGTATGAATGGTGTAGGATAGTGTCAGTGTCACGGAAAACTTTCCTAGTAGCGGCTGCACACGCTCTGCGAAACGAAGCAACGCGCGCGATACTCGAAACTCTATGCAAGCGACCCCAAAGTGCTAAAAATTAAAAATATCACGCACAATAGACTATGGAAGTTGTTGACAAATAAAACCACTTTCATCGATACCGTCTGACGGCGATACTTTTTACGAGGACTGAACGATAAGATTTTTCTTTGCAGTGAAGTTTCACATTTTATGATAAGGGTTTTTGATTTGCAGTTGCGGTGAGTACGATTTTGATTAGTCGTCTTAGAATTTATCTTTTTAAGTTTGTGCTTCTTTAGTATTTATTTCCTTTAAAGTGATTTTTAAGTATTTTAAATATATTTCAAATATGCATGTTATAAAAGTGGAGCGAATTAAATTGTAGTTTTAATAAATTTTTGTTTTTAAAGTATATAGCTTCTGGTTAAAACTGGCTAAAAATAATAATGCTATTTTTTAGTTTAGTTTACTTTCAAAAGTACTATTTGAAACAACACGCGAAAATTTAAATTTGCAATAAATTAGGGCAGAGGTCTTACGAGTACGCTATTCTATGCCAACCGCAAGTTTTGCGCATAAAAATGTATCGCACTTCTGTAGTTGTCTAATTTAGATGTTATGTATATTACATAGGTATCGGAAATGAAACTATTTTTCCGGATTTAAATCGCGTATATTTGTTTTTTCAAATAAACCGACATTTCGGGCCCTTTACAGGTCCCATGGTCACGGTTGATATGTTCTAGTATGTTACGTTTTAATATGTTTTAGTTTATTCTAATTTCTATTAATAATTAATAATAAATGAAACTTAATAAAAATTCATTCAATAAAATAATTTGTTAAATTTAATGTAGCGTAAATTGGAATGTTTTCTTTGTAAAATTAAAAATAAGGTATTTAATTAATAACTATTGTAACTATAGTGAGAAAATAGGGTGGTTTGCATTAATATTAGACATAACTGGTTGAAGACTGTACCACCTCAGTCAACCGTGCGTGACCATGGGACCTGTAAAGGGCCCGAAACGTCAGTTTGTTTGAAAAAACAAATATAAGCGATTTAAATCCGGAAAAATAGTTTCATTTCCTATGTGTAACAATCGCGAAAACCTAAGAAGTCAATATTACATAGGTATCGTTGATCCTTTTTTTTGCAACAGTTGTATCCTATTTTTTGCAACAGTTGTCATTCACAACGTCGAGTTTAACGCTGAAATGATATAGAAATATTGAATAGCAACGGAGGTACTATTTGAATACATAAAATATTATATTCTAAGATCTAACGTTATCCTACATAACGTAGCTATATTTAGCGTCAATAGCAGTTGAACAGGTTGTAGTGATTTATATTTCTAACGACTTACGGGATAAAATAAGCTTAGAAGAAAATAAAATAAGAAGAGAGACCTCTTCTTAATCAATGCCGTTGTACTTTGTGTATGATATTATTATATTTTCTAGTAGAAATTATGATAATATGGCTTTAAGTAATTATATGGCGAAGCCTATGTCTAGCAGTGGACTGCAACAGGTTGACGCCGATGATGATCTAATTACAAATAATTTTCTTAAAATGCATTTAATTCGTTACTTTTGAATTTGCCGTTTCTACCAATTTGCTAATATATTCATTGTTTAGTTCATTAAATTGACAGTAGATTCGAATGACTTTTAAGGTGAAACAAAATCATTGTTGTTTTTGTTACAGTCAATCAAATCAAAGTATGACATTTAGTGACATGACGCACGCTACACAGCTCAATTTTGTAGCTTAAATTTGGAAATACAATTAAGGAAAAGGTTATTACGCAACAAACTTACACTCTATGGAATGGTAATTAAAAGCCCTAAACAATGTTATCTTTTGCAATTGGTAGAAACCGTAATACCAGAAATAACATCGTACGTAAAATCAGCAATCACACAGTATTTTTCCTTCCCAAGAATTATTCGTTCCCTGAGAAAGATTTTACAACTTGCGAAATAAAAAGATATCGAGCTTGAATGAATGGTGTTAACTTAATAGTTAGGTAATGTTAACCAAACGTGATTATTTATTTAAAGTCTAGAGTTTTCATCATACGCTTAAAATGCTTTACTTGCTTGGTTGAATATTAAAATCACGTTTCTTGATGTATTAAATAGAATAAAACACTAAGTAGTTTCGACCATTTGACAATATTATACATAGTAATTTAAACAAATGCATTGGAATGAGAATTCATCTTGCTGTATTTAAGTGACTTTTGATTCTTTTTATTCTTGTTGACTACAATGCATAGTTGTTTTTGCATTCCCAGTATTGCTTATTTAACATCTTCGACTTGTTCCTATTGATATGTTATGGTATAGTTATAGTTAAAGTGATTATGAAACACGACGTCGACTCCGGCATGATCGTGAGGTACCGACGATTGGCAGTCGTTTGGAAAGCTTTGAATAAATTGTATCTCTGACGCAATGTTACCGGGCCATCAGAAATTGACTTATCTGATGTTGCAGTTGCATAAACTATCACTTAGTATTGGAGCTGAATAGTAATCATAACTGTACCTAATGGTCTCCCTACCAGCGTATGCAGACACTTCATAACAATATTGTACATTGATACTTCTTTCCATACTTTATAGGCAATGAAATAGTATAAGATCCCGCTTGAATCCTGCTATTTTATATCTATAAGCTGGTTATCGCGCTCACCTGTCTCCTGTATAGTCAGGATCAACGATGAACTGGTCAGTTACGTCTGTACTAATCTAACCTATTTTATTCGGAAAAGTATTAGTCAGGAAGTCAATGTGTCATATATGTATAATCCTTGTCTCGTTGTTGTAGACGATTGCTTTTAGTATCGCTTGTGTTATGACCTGCAGGTATTGTGCCTAACATTGGCAGTGCAGTCTGACACATTGTTTGCCTATATAATCCGCTACTTACACACGTCAAATACTAATTATTTGTTATTAAAGCTTGGAAAACATTTTACTGTATTAAAAGTACGGTAACTTCCACAGGTTCATGAATACATCAAGCAGATCGAACCTAACACCTGATTGTCTATTAATTTTGGTTTAAATAGATTGTATGTCAAGGATAATTTTTTGGCGATATCGCACAAGTATTGTACATTTGTTTTGTAGTTAGAATCATTGATTGGTGGTTTTTTATATTACAGGCTACTCACTTGTACTGAACTATTATTAGATTTTACTCTGTTTTATTGTTTCAGACTAAGACTACGTTTTTCATGTATGAAGTACATCAGGCAACAAGTATAAATGAAGGAGGTCGGGTGATTAGGAACTATCCCATGTGGGACTTGAACCTTGTGTGGAACACGATCGATAGTTGATAAGGTTATATAATATAAGGGAACGTAAAATATATCAAAATGCAGTTCATACGATCCTTTTTTAAACGGATCACTGATGATCTCAAACAGAAGAAACTTATACCACTCAAGATATTATTTTTCGTGCATGCATCTAGTAAGTATTTTTTTTACAAACATTGTAAGTGCTGTATAAAATAGGAAAGATGCTCTTTTTTATGATACCGAGTGACAGAACGAAGAAGTCGTGGGCCTGCTGGTAAGCGACATGCTTGTCTAGAACGGTTACAGTGCCAATCAGAGCTTTAAAACGCAAGATCTGAGGGGCACTACCACTGCGCCCGTCACCCTGAGACGTAAGTTGACAAGTGCCATGTGCCTGTAATTTTACAACCCTTCAAAACCGAAAGTCGTCTCTGGACGAACTCTTTCACAAAGAACTCTACAACTTCTACTTTTACCTTTTTATTCTTTTTAGATATATTTTTTTGGTAACAAATATAGTGCGCCAACCATGGGACCAGGGGTAGTACTTAATTGACGTACTGGGATATCCATTGGTTTCACTAATCTACGGATTATTTTCAGCTTTATTCGTGTTGTACCCCTACCTGACAATTCATATGCGAGAATTAGGCATCAACGTGGAGGAGACTGCGATCATGTCGGCCGTCACTCCGGTGGTGTCGATCGTGATGCCTCCACTGGCCGGCATGCTGGCGGACAAAATTGGCAATTTCAGGGTCAGTTACTTTGTTTTTTCAACGTGTTATTCTTAAATTCTTGCAATTTTATTTAACCATTCAATTACTTCTTTCAAATGATAAACGCAAATATTCTAATGTTTAATTCAGACGGCCGCGTATACAAACGTAAAGAATTACTTAGTATGCCTAATGTAGTATACGTAAATATAGCGACATTTGTTATTTCGTTTTCACGTGCATATTGTAATTAAACACGAGAGCCTACTCGATTGTACAGTTGAATAATATGTAGGCATGCTCAAGGATTGCATTTAGGATATCGAGTCGCAATTGTATGCTACGCTTGGATGTCAATGAGGTCAAACGTAGAAGGCTGGTGTTGTATCAGGAAGCAGATTCTGTAAATATTGGGTCTATTTGTTAACATTCCTCCGTATCTAAGAAGCATTTTGCTTTGTGTTTACTATCTATGCATTGGGTGACCGTCGTAGATTAAATTGAGCGAGTTAATATCGTTAATACACATTGTCCGAAACGCGAATTACAGTCAATTCTGGATACAATAACCTTTACCTTGCATTGTAGTAGCGGCATTGCGGACGTTCAGGCCTGATACTTACTGTTAGGGTTGGTATATATATATATCTTTCCATTGTGAAGCTTCCGGTACATGCCAATTTAGGTTGCCAAGATATTCTTTGAAAATAGACATAGGCATAATATGACGCATGTTTTTAACTCTACTTGTTTATTTATAAACCTTCTTGCGAAGTGCAATTGAAATTCTGTCATTTGACTACCGGCGGCGATTATATTTATGTTGAATTTAAGTTGGTGTATTATAGAGTTCCCCACGTGAGCCCGTAATTGCATGTCCCATATACGGGCGAAGTGGTGTGCGTACGTCACACTTAGCCCGGACCGGAAGTGCTGCTGACTAAATGAACATTGCTTCCAAACATGGACTGGCACGTGATCACTCAGCAACTGCGTGAAGATGTTCGATTGCCCCCCATTTCCTAAGGCACTAGCCTTACAGAGAACCGGATAAAGTCCCTGCAAACGGGCTGATCAGGGGTTAAAACCTGACTTAGATGGTCCCTGTGCGGGTTCGCTCGCACAGGTCGTAGTGCCTTTCCCGCATAACCAAGAGGTTGATAGGGAGGGGCACTATAAACAAAACTTATGTAGAAAGGTATGGGATTGACCCTCAATAACTTATACTAACTTAATATTGAACGAGTTAAACATTGCCTGTGTCTTAATTTGCGTGAGCGTGTGTGTGTGTGTTACATGTATACATACATACTGATACTTTTTGAATTTCTTATTTCTGTTACTCTTCGTGTATGAGCAATTAGCAACTTAGTTGTTGGCCACAGTTAGTTCTACTTAAATAGTCTTTATTTCATACGTAAGCAAATTACACTTGAAATCGTTACATTGATTCAACTCTACTATTCATTCGTTAAGGCAGATTCCCCTAAGAAGAGTAAGAAACTCTAGGGCACATGTTCCCAAACTTTTTGGCTCACCACCCACTTAGCAAGATAAAAGAATTTCAACGCCCATCACCACAAGAAATAATAAAAAACACGTATTTTTTATATTAACTTAACACAAAAACTCACAAGGAAAAAAATACATATATATTTAGTGTAGTTTATGCAGATATTTCAGGTATTTAGTAAAATTACATAGCATCAATTAAATAGCATCAGCCTTTCATGATATATGAAATAAACTATTTACGAACAGGCGAAGAAAAGGTGATAAAACCTTTTCCACCAAAACAAGGAACGATACTGAATATGAAGAGGTTGTATGGTGGAACATTTACCTACCCAAATAAATGGCGGAAAATTTGTTTAAAAAAAAATACGAATATATTTACAATTTTAATTTCGCTATAATTTCGTTCCGGTAGAGGTACATAATTTTTTTTAATAAAGGGTACTAAATAGTACAATTTATGTATATTTTTTTGATACTAAATTTGCCAGGATCCCTTAAGGTACACCCGCCATTCTGACTCTCACCTCCTACCGCCCCACTAGGACAATTCAGCGCCCCAGTTAGGGGCAGTAGAGACCACTTTGGGAAACTATGTTCTAGGAGTTGTTCCTTATAAATAAATATTTGTAATATTGATTGCATTTAATATCATGTTTTACTACCACGACATTTATTTATTTTTTGTGACATTACTCCACTAGTTTGTTATAATTACTAATATAATGAACGAACACAAAGAAAAATTCATTGATCTAACAGGACTCGAAACTGTGTAATGCCAATCTAGGGCACTTGCATACATTTATCATTTACAATATCTATTTAAAATAAAATAGATCAAGGAAACATGGAAGAATACAAAATATCAACATTAATTGTACAAACTACATGTATAACAATGGCGAAAACCAGCAAACTCGATAAGTTTTATTTCTATTAAAGATACAAATATTTTTAAACATTTAGTACTTGTTTACTGTACCATCTTATAAATCACGTGTACTTATTGCAGATAACTTACAAGGAATGTTATAACTTTATTTTTACAAAGTTAAATTAACTAGCTGATAAAATAAGCTAGGTACATTACTCAAGCTTAACATTTAAGATTTAAATTCAACTCTATATTGCTTACAAAACGATCCAAAATGTAAAGCTAGACGTGCTCTTGGCTGTACTTAGATCTATAATTATACGTTGATTTCACAACAGAAGTCATTGTTAGTCGTGTGTAAATAAGAAAACAAAAGGATTTGTTGCTTTGATGAGCCTACTACAATAAGAATGGTGGTTATTGATCACTTGCTCAAATGCTTATTGAATAAATTATTGAATTCCTACTGACCTTGTAAAATATAGCAATTCCTGACACCGGTATTTTTGTAAAGTATTGTGGTTCTATTGCCAACTTCACCCTTACGCAAACTCCACAGGTTCTACCTCTGGGGGTAAAGTGTAAAAAAGTGTAAAGGGGTAAAGGTGTCAATACAAATGTTTAGATAGCTTAGATGCATAAACAATAAAAAAAATATTAATATTAAGCTCGGACACAAACTTTTATATATGGTCTCGAATCCTTGGTGCTTACGGTACCGTCGTTGTTTCCGATTTTCAACGCAAAAAGCAACGTATGTGATGTTGTCTAATATTACTTTGTATTTTTTTTTCGGCATTTTAACACCGTAAGCGTGACGTTGTGAGAGACTTATGAAGCTTTTCACTTAGCCTAAATAATATTTTAAATACCGGTTTTGTTCAGCGAAAGGTTGCAATGGCTCTTAGGGTACACTTTCTAAGTTTCAAGATAGAGTCGGGAGTATACTTGAAATCCATCCATCCAGAGCTTGAAATCGGAAGGATCTGAGGGGCATTGCCACTGCATTGATATAAGTTGACAAGTCCTATGTGCCTGTAAGTTCACCAGCACCCTTATCCTTCAAAACCGGTACACAGTAATGATGACATTACTGCTTGGCGGCAGAAATAGGTAAGGTGGCAGTACTTCCCTGGACGAACTCTTTCACAAGGAGCTCTACTGCTACTTATAACCTCGTCTAAGGAAGCAATGCAAGTAAAGTCAACAATAGCTCCCTCTAAAATTTCGAAATTACTGTATTGTATTTTGTTCTATATCTTTGATTTGTAACTAGCAATTACTTTACTAAGTTAATGTATTTAGAAGAAATTTTTTGTATTTGTAAGTAAATCATGTGTGACTATTATTTTTGTCTTTTATCATTTGTATAATCATTCCGAGATTTGAGATGGAGGAATTATCTCCTTTAGATTTCGCTTCATAAAAATATATGAATATGTCATAAAGTATGATAGTAAAAACATCATGACATTCAATAATAAAAAAAATTGTATATTACTTGAGTTCGGATAATTATACTGTGCCTATTTCGATCTCTGGTTATAAGAGTGTTTGCCTTAGTCTGTTACTGTGACAAATACATTAATGAGCACGATAAAGGGAAAGTAGGTACGCCCTTTCACTAAGTCGTCTGTAAATGCTGGCCTTTTAAATTTAGTTTCACGCTTTATTAAAATTGATTTTTCTTATTAAAGACTTTTGTACAATTTTATATAATTAACCATTTGTACACAAAGAACCTACCGTAGCCAACCTTCTTCGCATATAAGGAAAAGCCATTAAGCATTGTCATCAAACACCATGCCTAAATCGTTTTATATCAACACCATTGTGACGTTTCTTATAACTTAATAAGTTTGACGTGGGAACAATTACCCATTGTAGTGACACACGGCAGAGCCATTTTTCCGCCTATGAACGCCAATGACCACGTTCCGGTATACACAGTCGAACATCTCTATTCTTGTATCATATTCTAATGTCAACCCACAATTACTCTATGTTGATGACAATGTGTGCAATTTTGCCGATCACAACATGTTTAGATGCGTCATCCTGTTTTCCTTCGGTAACTATAATTTGCTAATTACGAATGATGTTTCATTTTCAGGATAGATGCATGTGTCGTTTATAAGTTGTTTAGTTACTTTGTGTTTGATATGAAATAATTTTAATACATAACCAATTTTTTATAAGTACATAGATATACATCAGCAGGTTTAACGAGTCGCAAATGTGTGTACGTTAGAAAATAATACTGTGACATTTTATTTGGATAATAAATACATAGATAGAATATACATTAAATGTGTTAATAGTTTTAATAAAATGTGTTTGCTTCTTTAAGCCATAAGGCTTTTAATACTTTCTTACCATTATGACCTGCTTTTTGGATCTGATTTCTGAATTTTTTTTAATAGTTTTATTAAAATTCACAAAGGCTTAGCTCTGTTTAAGAACTTAGTTATACAGTTGGTTGTATTTATATGTTTTTCACCTCATTAGCTCGGAAAGGCTTTCTTTCTCATTAGAAATCTGCGCGCAAAAGCGTTTTTTTCACGCTAGCCTGGAAAAGTTTTTGAGATTCGAAGTTGACGATGAACTGTCGTGCACCTAACTTTTTTTTTCGATGAAAAAAAACGTTCTACTACGCTATTTATCGTACACTATATAAGTAATATAAATTCGTTGGCATATTTTATTTTTATTATTGTTGATATTAAATTGACAACGATAAGTAATTTTGTTTATTTAAACTGATTTATTGTAGTTCAACTGTGTTCCTTTCATTTACCGTTTTTCTCGCCGAGGTGAAAAGTTGTGTGTTTCGCTCGGCAGCAAAGTTTTGCGTCTCGTGTCTTGAAACTCTCGCTACGCTCAGGATTCTGTTTTTGAATCGTTTGTTCAAGTTTCAATACAAGCACTCGCGTCAAACAATAACTTTGCAGCCTTGCATAACAAACAACAATTGTTATTATTGATGTGCAGTGTCTTTTGGCGCTGTCATCCGTCCTTGGCGGAGCATCAGCGCTTCTCCTGCTGGCAGTGCCAGTAGGTCGAATCACCGTCACCTTTCCGCCTTTGGCCGAGCTCATGGTCACGTGCAACAACACCGGCCTGCAGTTACGACATATGAAGGACTACCCTTGCATACCTCTGCACCCGTACTCTTATGATATTAACCTATCGTAAGTTAACCTGCACTGTTCTTTAGTTAAGTACGAAATTTACGAACTTGATTATTAAAGAAGAATAAGCGGCAAATTGCGAGGCAATTTTTTAATGATGTTAAAAGCCCACTTTACGAGGACGAATCATTATTCAATAATTTATTTTTGATTGTAGGATATTATCATGTGGATTTGTCTGTGAAATGCCGGACGCCATTACTACGGAGGACGTAGAAGAAATAATACACGGACATTCGTATGATATCCATTTAGAGTCGCCTATTGAATCTCAACGGTTGGTATATAGGCATACAGTATCATCACTATTCCCGCGTAACATGGCTCCTAAGAAGGATCAGAGTACTTCACGCATAATGACCAACGATCCGTACTTCAATACAACGGTATCAATAATTTCTGATAGCGAAATATTCTTTCCTGCCCCTCATTTGTACAAAATCGATTGTTCTTACGATTCGAGCAATGGATCGTGCTTATTTGGAAATGGCGACGTGATAAATCAAGCTGAAGAATTTAACGACGATACGATATTTCGACTGAGGATATCGCATGACGCTCAAAAAGCGCCAGTCGATGTCAGGAGCTACTGGGTTAGATCGATATCTACAGGCAATTCAACCAAAGTCGGTGACGATTTCGATGGAATTGACAGCGTTATGTGCCAAGATAGTTTTCTGGAGGTGAGGTTTATTCTTATTATTGTAACAAATTTTGCCGAAAATCAGAAGATTTCTGACGTACCATAATATACGTTCATGACTAAGTTGTATTAAACGTAATATATCCCGCATTGTATTGCCGCGAAGTTCCTTTTGAGTTCTCTTTTATAATGTGCCAGACAACCGAGAGTACGGAAAAATTCATTCGGGCACTACCCAGAACACCCAGGCCAGGACCAATTTAGTAAAGTTAATTTTTCAAATTGGTCCACTTTGAATTGAACCCGGGACCTCCTCACCCGGCGTCTACTGTGCATGTGTATTACATTAATTGGTTATGATTATGTATTTACAACTATTCTGCTTATTGTAAAGTAAAATTGTTTTTTATCCACTAGACGGGCGAAGGTGTAAGGATACAAGCGGGTCAACGGCGCCTGTCGCAGTGCTCAGCTGCGTGCGCAGCCACAGTCCCGCGGAGGAGTCTCTGTGACAACCAACAGCAGCAAATTGAAATAGATCCAGCCTTCACATTTTGGGCATACCTTGCTGTAAGTATCGTTTAAATTGTATGCGGTTGTCTAAGCACAAAAGCTTCTTTGACTTTGGAGCTACTTAGGCTTTTCTCCTTATAAGAGCTTTTTTAAATAAAAGTAAAAACGGCTTTACTTGACATGACAATAATTGTAGGAAATTACATAATTTCTTCATAACAGAAAGAGCTATTGGTACTCGTGAAGACACTACAGAGAAAATTATTTCAGATAAGTAGTACCAAATAGCTTTTGGTACTACTTATCTGAAATATGGTTTAATTTTGCTTAGTTCTAGAAAAAATAAAAACCATTATAAGATAACAGATGATTGTGTTAAGACTTCCAATAATTGCGATCTAAACAGAATGTTTTTAAACCTTGTCAAATACGATTAGCAGTCAAAAAAATCAAGATCGAGAAAGCCCAATGTTAGTTTTTTAACAAGGATAATGTTACAAAGTTTAACGAAGTTGAAAGCAGCTCATGATTACCCTATTCTGAGCAGGGACCATTCGAGGGGAGCACGTGGTATGTTAATGTAAACGCATGCAGATTGAGCGACGGATCCGTTGATGGAAAGATTGTCGTCTCATCGCCGTTAACTGGGTAATGACGGAGTGGTAATGGCAAACTTGATACAGCGACCGGCCTCACATGCCGATCCAATGCCATCGTTCTCTCGCTTCTCCACACTCCTAATAATATGTTACGCCTCCAGTACGTATCATGTGAAAAAAAGAATCAATGATTAGATATAGTACATACCTTAAGATGAAGCAAACTTTTTCATGTTTTAGGATTAAGTAAGAATCATGCGGTTTATGAAATATGATATGTAGTATGAATGAGTCTACAAAAATGTAAAATTGGAGTCCGTCCGATTTTCCGATCAATTCACACTTTTTTTTATTGATGAGAAAACTCAACGACTAAAGTATTTTTAACGATGATTACATAAATAGAATTTAAGTAGTATTTATAACAGATAGGCCGCAATTACTTCTTACTCTTTTGACGGTATGATTGATACACATGATTAAATATAGAAGTACATTTTTGGTAGTGATTTGCGAAAGTAAATGTATTAATAATTCAAATTAACTTCAATTTTAAGGCTATGATTTTTAAGTTGCTAACATGTAATTTTCCTTTTAATACCTATTGTTTGGACTTGCCCACATCGACGACAATATCATAGTATAATAAGACAAGTAGTTTTTTAGTAGCAGTAGAGCTCCTTGTGAAAGAGTTCATCCAGGGAAGTACTGCCACCTTACCTATTTCTGCAGCCAAGCAGTAACGTCAGCAATACTGCGTGCCGATTTGGACGGGTAAGAGTGCTGATGATATTACTGGCACATGGGACTTGTCAACTTATGTCTCAGGGGGTCTGGCACAGTGGCAGTGCCCCTAAGATTTTTGCGATGAAAGATCTAAGTGGCACTGCAATTGTTATGGATCCCGTCACTTGGTATTTATAAAAAAAAGTAGTGCTAATCACGCATGTTCGACGCGTCAATGCTTGCGCTCACTCGGAGCGTACGGTTGTCACATTATTATTTTAGTTGTACTTGTACGTATAACTTGTAAACGTAATTTGAAAAAGATATGACGTTAATCACAGTATTTTCGTGCTATATTGCTAAATGCAGTCCTTAGGCATTGATATTTTTATACCAGCATCGCGAATTGGTATCTCGATTATGGGTTTCAGATACTCTTGTACAAACAACCATAAACACGATAATAAACATGTCTAATATTTGATGACATTTTTTGAATACCAAGCGAACCCTTCAATTTTATAATGAAATGGTGCGTGAGACGACCCGTTCTATGCAACGCGAGTACAACGCGAATTATTTTATATGCGAATGTGTGCGTCAGTCGTCCGCACAAGCCGAGCTGCTACGTTCTATGGATTATACAACTCATTTTATTGTATTATGATTGTGTTAATAATTCATATCGTATCGGATTTGCCAATCAGCGTAAGTTAGTGGCCGATTACAATAAAGGAACGGTACGTCGCGTCGTGTGGGGAGGCTTCTTTCGTGTGGGGTACACAGTGTTGTGTTGTAATTTTTATTTATTTTTAAATTCTTTTAACCTATCTGAAATCATATTCAATACGGAAATAGTTACTATAATTTATACTTACAACAGGACTACTTTTACATTTACATATACATTTTGGTCTACACCATATCTAATTGGAATGTTGTAAAATGCTAATTATTTTTTGACCACAATTTTGCTGCATAGCAAATCTTGCATTTACAAGCTCCGAACACTTAATGTTACATAAATTATTTCATAATAAACGCGCTACTTAGCCTTGTCCCCATTTTGAGCTTATTGTTAGTCATGTTCAAATCCACACGAGTACAAGAATTAAATTCTATGTATAAGCATCAATAATTTAGAATGGCAAAGCTGTTTGTTTTGCAATTGTTAGAAGTTGTGCTTGTACTCCTATTACATTTAGCGTAAGTCAGGATGTGCCATAATATATTTTTATAATAATCTGTCCTACACAATGTAAATATATTATAATATAATATAGACTTGCAGAAATCACGTCAAGCCCTGGCTTATTATTTGGTATGTCTAGCAGTGACGAGGTGTCCATAATTTTTAAAGAAACATTATCTTGGTTTGTAGTATAACATCTATAGCACTTATTTAAAATGTAGACTCTAGAATTAATTAATATTATAGTGAATTGTGAGTTAATTTTAGTGTCGAGCTTGTTAGCTCATCGCTAGGTTGTTAAACCACTAAATTTTTACCTAGCAATAAAGAAGAGTTGTTTTTTGTAAAATTATTCTTGAAATTGAATAAATAAATAAAAAAATATATAACTCGATTCTCACCGGCTTGCCTAAAATTTTCCACGTATGTATTACCAAAATATTGTACTAAACAACACGTATACCCCTCCTTTTAAAAAACTTATGTTCAAAATATTCAATAATACGGGGTATGATAGATCTCTGCCTCTCTGCCAATCACAGGGCGCGGTCTACCACGCAAGCCGGTCGGACCCCGGCTTGTATTTCATTAATGAAACCTAGACGCACATATCAAAATACACACATTTGCAAAAGTCCGCAGTAAAATCATAGACCTAATAATGGCGGCTGAAAACTCCAAAACCATCGGGTTATATATAATATCTTGTGTGCTCATAAGTGTTGCGTTTAAGTGTCACAAGGCGCCTTTTGTATAATAATAATAATAATAACGCACACACTCAACATAGCCCCGCATTAGGGAAACCCCGTGTCGCGGGTGCCATAGACACACACGGAAGAAGTTTTTTAACGGAAGAAGTTTTTGTTAAGGTAGATTTTGTTTATGTTGGTCCGGCTTTACTAGCGATTATATTCACACCTCGCCACTGATGTCTAGTTCGTGATATTCGTACTTTTTTATAATATCAAGTGACGGGACAAACAAGTCGTGCGCCTGATGGTAAGTTACACGCCTGTCCATAATAATTGCAGTGCCACTCAGAGATTAAATCGCTACGATCTGAGTCCCATACACATACACATTATGGTATTATAAAAAAAACTACACATACGCCTATTTCAGCATTAATGCTCTATGTATAAAATATATTGAAAGCATAGGCTTAAAATTCGCGGAGAAATACACAGCGGTAAATCCGTTATTAATATTAATCTAACGGGAGGTCTCAATAATTTTCGAAACAGTTTTTCGTAAGTACTGATGCCAGATCATTGCCGGATTTATCACCAATCCATTTCCACAAAACATTGTTATGATACGAATATTATGATTTATGACATACCATTCATTTATTAGTTAGGTAAAGGCCTCTCTCAGTGTAGAAGATGTGGTAGAAGACGTAAGACGTCGGAACTATTCCGATCAAGCGTAATCCCCGTGTTGTGTAAACCATTTATTTACCACACACAGTAATACGTAATGTACTTTTTGATTTACGGGTAATACACTTCTAAATACCATAAGTTATTATGGTAGACAAAGCCTCAGAAACTTATTTGCTTTCGATTATTATGTAGGACAAAACACATAGTACTTATAGCAAGTACATAAAATGCCACTAAAAAGTGGAAAACCTACATGAGTACTAACGTGACAAACAGAGTTAAATTTATGAGGCGTGATCGGTATCCCCACAATTAAAAAAAGTATTAATTTCCCAGGTGCGTGTATTTATCGGAATTATCGGAGGTACAGCGTTCGCAATGTTCGAAGGGGCTGTCATTGCAATCGTGAGAGAGCAAAGAGCTGACTACGGTCTTCAGCGAGTTTACGGCAGCATTGGTGGCATGATTTCCTCGCCACTTTCCGGTCTATTGATTGACTATGCAAGTAGGGGGAAGGGATACACGGATTTTAGGTAAGAACGATGCTCATTGTGGAAATGAAACTCTTTCTCGGATTTCAATCGCGTCAATTTGCACAAACCGACTGTTTTTAAAAGCCGTGGTAGCCCAATGGCCGTGGGTTCCAATCAGGGCTCGCATCTCAGAGTTTGGAATTTACGTATGAAATTTAATTTGAAATTAACCGAGCTTTTTAGTAAAGGATAACATTTTGATGAAATAGATTTCATCACGTCGAAGAATGTTTACAACCCTTGGAAAACGTGTGAAGTCCCCAATGCGCATTGGGCCAACGTGGTGGACCATGACCTAATTCTGAGATGAGACCCGTGCCTAGCAGGGGATGATGATGGTGAATGATTTTTAGATCCGAAAAAATAGTTACATTTCCAATGTATAACAATAATGAAAACCTAAGAACTCGAAACGATGCTCATTGTTCAATTGTTCTATACGGAGGATTAGCTCAACGCTTTCACAAGTTGTTAGTAAACATCCGAAGTTGAGCATTTTAATTTTGTGTGTATCGCTATATGTCATGTTAATACGAGTAGTACTTTATGCAATCGTTGCATAATGAGATAGGCAACAGGTACGAAATTTTCTATGTACAGAACTTTAGTGAAATTCATATCGAGTTCTTAGGTTTTCGCGATTGTTACACATAGGAAATGAAACTATTTTTCCGGATTTAAATCGCGTATATTTGTTTTTTCAAACAAACCGACGTTTCGGGCCCTTTACAAGTCGTCGGTTTCTCATGTCGGTTTGTTTGAAAGAACAAATATACGCGATTTAAAGCCGGAAAAATAGTTTCATTTCCTGTTGTGAAATTTTTCAGCTCAGTGGCGAGTACCATGGACAATATAACTTTGATTCAGAACTAAAAAGCGCCTTTACGATATGGTGGATCTAGGTGCGCGGGTTGCAGATTTGAGTAGCAACCAGCAAAATTTATACAATATCAGAAATAAATCACTACAACTTAAAAATTATGCTGAAGTTACTAGCTAAGTTAATGTTTACGATTTAGACAGAAGAATCGAACCCGGCTTCTGTACGATGTTATTATTTTGTAATATATATCGCCTAAATTCGATAACCTTGTATGTTTACTTTTAGTTTTTCGGAGTGCATAACATTTAAGTATAGAAAATATTATTTTTGATGTTCTTAAAATCTCGTACCTATTATTTAGGCCACGAGGTTTTGCCGAGTGACTACACAATAAGGGTTCCTGAAGGCGAGTACCGTGTTTTAGGAACCCTCATTATGCAACGATTGCATAAAATACTTAATAATATTATATTAGTACAATTAATGTGTTATATTCCCTTTAAAGATCTTGTTTGGAATACTTCCTTGTCTTATTAAATGAACAGATGTACCTAGATTTATGCTAGTGGGATAGTGCCCGAAAATTCGTTCTCATTACAACAAGTAGGTACGCACAATGGATGCTCCGAACCGGAACGTTTTCTATATGCGTTTGATTAGTTGTCCGTGTTCATCTGGATTGAGGCTGTAAATAAACATTATCTACTTCAAAAGAGCGTTGAAGCGCGATCGTTACCTTACTCACCTTGGACATTTTACACACCTAATGATGTGATCGATGATATTACTTGTACATCCTACATAAAACTCAACTGGTAAACTAAACAGCACCGACGCTAATTTGTCATTAATAATTTATGAAACTTAAAAAGTTTTTGCGAAAATACCGCAATTTGTCGATGATTAATTTTTGATTTAAAGCTTACATTCTCGATATGTGGGTTAGCGATATGTACTTAGCGGCTATTTTGCTTATCCTAGGTAATATATGACATAGATAATAGTTTTCGCATTATTACATAAACCAGTAATGGCTCCATTATTGACAGTCGTGGCCAATTTATATGTGAGCCTCAAATAACATACATACGTGCCAGACTCAAGCTCACCGATTTCTGTTATTATATGAAATTACGTACACACCGATTGAATCGCATGTAACCATGTACGCCATAGATTTTACGTTCGAAGTAAAATATCATGTAATTGATAACCGTCCTTATATCTATGTCATTCGCGTGTTACAATAAGATTAGCCTGCGTCAGAAATTGATCTCATCGTTATAGCAATTGTTAAGAATTAGTGATATTGTTATTATTGGCCTAGAAATCTTCTAGATGATCATAACACCATCGTCGTCCACATTTCTACATTCCATCAGTACCAACGTGTACAAAATTCCAGTCAGATCGGACATTTCAAGTGAAAATCCAAATCCAGGACAAACACTCCTGTGTTACAATTTCATAATAATATGGTTTTGAAGAAAACTTACTTCAAAATTTGTCGATTTTTGTAGGTACTTACAAATTACAAAAATAATTATGATACAAAAAATAAAAATATTTATTAACATGACTTTAACAGGCAAATAAAACACCATTTATGTAGCTTTGCGGCTTTTCCAAAATGTGACCGTAATTTAAGAAAATCGAAAATTTCTTCAAAACTTTTATAATTTTTCTCAAATCTATTTGACAATTGATTTTCAATGCTACTAAGCATTTAAAATTATTTTTGGAATATATGCATAGTATTCGCACAAAAAAAAACCCAGCTGTTAATTCCGAGGGATATTGTTTTTGATCTATTTCAAAATTCATAACGTCTAAATTTTAGTGAAAGCTAAAATTTTAGAGATACCTACTTGCTATTAGATTTCAATAAAATCAATAAAATTTCTGTAATAAAATGTCGAATTTTGTTGAATGCCAGCTTAAACGTCGTTTTACAATCGTATAAATTTATCTGCTACTCTATGTATTTTAAGTAGATATTAAGTAGGTAATGTCTTACCTGGTGGTATTGTTTCATTTTCACGTGCGATTAAATCGTACTCCGTAAAGTACAAGTATACACCTGCGTCATAATTGTTTTCCCTATTTTGCATCATACTGAGTGTCGTTTTACTAGCCTTCCCTTGTACTCCATAAATGTAGATTGTCTATTTGATATCATCTAAATTACAACAATCATTAAGTTGAATCTCAGCACGATTTACATGTACCTACTTTTGCTTTTTATTATGTGTTCTTTGTCCCTATACGTAAACGAAAAATTTTTTAATCGTAATATTAAGTTTATTGAATATCACAATGTTTTACTAGCAAGATATTCAATTATTTTTTGTCAAATGACTCCTATTTACAAGTTCTTTAACCGACTTCAAGAAAGGAGGAGGTTCTCAATTCGACTGTATGTTTTTTTTTGTATGTATGTTTCGGGATAACTCCGGTATTTGTGAACAGATTTTCATGATTCTTTTTTTGTTTGAAAGGGTGTACTTCCATAGTGGTCCTATTTTATTTTGAAGAAAAACATCCACCTCTGAGGATGGCTATTCACGCATGAAGATTCTTTTTTATAAATAGCGCCTAACTTTAATTTAGGAGCAATTATTTTAATGGTTGATTTTGCGATTTCCCCAATTCAAGGCGTGTTTTCTCTCCATATACTTTGGGTCGTGAGAACCGATTTTTATTATCTCCAGTGTCAAGTCCTGTATAGTGGCGAACTAGGGGATATTTCAATAAAACTTAGCAAATAGACGTAATTCCATGTACCTACTTTTGAGGTCGGTTTTTTTAGTACTCTGTACTGAGATTATAATCGTTTGTTTTGTTGTGAGTCATATACGTCCTGCATACTTATCTGTAAAGATTTTGACATTTAAACGTAGTTGCAAAACTTTATTTCAGTTTCATGTTTAGCTGAGCATAAACTCACTCACGCAGACGCAGATCTTTATCGTAGATTAAGGACGACAGCCTAATTTGCTTCATTTGTTATGTACCTATCTTAAACAGTATTTCCTTATTTCAACACTGGTACTCTGACTTGTACATTGTTATCCCAACCTGTTAACGAGGACGTACTTACTTATTTCTCTATTATTTTGCACGTTTCGTTCACCTTACACGATTTACAAACTTAGTAAGAGTTAATTACGATAATAATGTATTTTATCCGGATTAATCATTCATACTTAAAGTGTGATAATTTGTGTTGTATAAGCATTATTGCATAATTATGTGCCAATATTATTAATATTATTACGCATTGTGTATGTGGTTATGTTTTTATTCATGTTTTGCCCACTTTCTCTTTCAAAACGTAATTGGAAGCAGGTTTACTGTATTATGTAATATTATTGTAAAAATGTTTAAGGTAGACCTAATACCATTTTGAGCATTGTTTCCCTTTTATGATAATCTTAGAATTAGAAATTAAATGAAGTCTATGTTTCAGACCCGCATTCTACTTATACGCGGTACTGAAAGTCGCTTCAGGAGTGCTTATGCTGAGTATTGACTTGGAATTCAAAAAGCCTGCTCAGAACCTCCTCGAAGATGTCATCTCGGTCTTCCGCAATATTGAGATTGTCGCTCTGTTTATTGCTTGTTTCATTATGGGTGAGTTATTTATACATAATATGTTTATGTCTGTTAGACTTTAAGAGTTATATTTACTCCTCTTTATAGTTCTATGATCTTTAAAAAGTCTTTGAATTGGAAATGAGACTATTTTTACACTATCATGTACTTATATTTGATTTTCTAAACAATCCAAACTACATAACAACTCGAAAAATCTTTAAAGTTTTTTAATGAGAAGACGCAATTTGCTTTATGCAAATTTGTAGACATTGTATACAATACAAGGTAAAATATTTGTACACAAGGTAAAATGTTGCGTTAAGCTTTACCTCTTTAACATATTTTACGTTTAGGAAATGAAACTATTTTTCCGGATTTAAATCGCGTATATTTGTTTTTTCAAACAAATCAACGTTTAGGGCCCTTTACAGGTCCCATATATGAAAAATAATTTCATTTCCTATGTGTAACAATCGCGAAAACCGGAGAACTCGATATATTTTACATTACTTTGTTATTATTATGGTTACAAAGATCGAACAAACACAAAGAAAATCCGTTCGATCGGACTGGACTCGAGTCAGCGTTTGTCGCATCAAAGTGGCTACCGCTTTGCCTTCGGATTCAGCCAGCAGATCTTACAATTTTTGTTTTGGTTTAAACACCTTTTTTACCGTAGCATCACGTGTGAGAAGAACTTATGAAAGTTTCTTCACTCGCCACGTACCTTCACAGCTATTAGAAGACGCTATATTATCGCTATATTAATTGTCACATTTTTATTATTTTTTTAATGATGCTAAGTGACGGGATAAACAAGTCACGCGTCTGGTGGGAAGCGACACACCTGTCGATAGCAGTTGCCGTGCCACTCAGAGCTTTAAACCGCAAAGGTCTGAGGGGCACTGCCACTGCGCTCGTCACTCTCAGACATAAATTAATAAGTCCCATAGTTTTATCAGCACCCAACCGTTCAAAACCAGAACGTGGTAATGCTCACATTACTGTTTGGCGGCAGAAATAGGTATGGTGGCAGTACTTCTCCGGATGAATTTTACAAGGAGCGCTACTGCTAGTGAATACCGTGAAAATAAAATAAAATTGTATTTGTTCAATCTTTGTATCAATCATAATAACTAACCAGCTATATAACTATATCTATAATAATATTGCACACTATTCTAAAGAGAGATAATTATATAACCACCTTTTACGTAATTCCAGGAACGGCCTGGGGCTACATAGAGAGCTTCCTCTTCTGGCTGCTGCAAGACCTGGGCGCGTCGCGCTCTTTGATGGGCATCACGATCACCGTTGGCGGGATAGCTGGTCTGCCGTTATTGGTGCTGTCTGGACCAATTATTAGAAGAGTCGGGCATGCTAATGTGCTCTTTATTGGATTCGTGTTTTACGCTATCCGACTGCTCGGTTGGTATTTAATTAACATAGGATGTCAATTAAATAATTTGCCGTTTCTTGCGATGTATACCATCTATGAGAATAACCGAGTTTAAAAATAATCGTAGTTAGACGTTTTCAACTTACTCTACGAACTTTTTGTCGATGCCTAATATTTATTTGTTATTGTACTCGCTGTACAGCTCATACAGCTCATACATAAATCCAACTTTTATTGTTTTAATCATAGAGGACCTCCGTGGCCCAACGGTTTGCACGGCGGGCACTCTGAATATTCTTTCCCATGTGGTTCCCAGGTTATTCCCTGATATACAACCCGTGGCTGTGCCTAATCTTTGAGGCGTTGGAGTCTGTGACGTCATCGTTGTCTTTCACTGCTGCCGTCACTTACGCCGCAAGACTTTCGTCTACTACCACCGATACCTCTGTTCAAGGCTTACTTGGTGGCCTGTACTATGGAGTTGGTTAGTAGTTATATCAGTTCGCAAGGTTCCCCTATTATGACATTTTCATTTGCCAATTGTTACATTTATTATTAACATTTTATTTTTGCCATAAAACTGAATATTGTTGGTATTTTGATGAATTTATGGTTTTTATATGATTGCTACTTTTTTAAATCACAATTTTTTTCTATTGATATGTGTTCTAATTATTTCATTTTGATTGATTTTTTATTTCATGAAATTGTAGTGAAGTGTTTTCAGTTATTTTAAATTTATAATATTTGACTTTGACTTGTTTTGTAAAAAGGCCAATAATCGAATTGAATCTTATAAAGAGCTTATATAAACTTGAGTTGTGATGTTAATGATTGACATTTAAATAATGAATTACAGGTAAGGGTGCCGGCAGCCTAATAGGCGGGTATTTGATGAAATTCTTCGGAACCAGGCCAACGTACCAAATATTTGCCACAGCAACTTTTATAACTGGCTGTATGTACTACTTATTTAATAAATTTTACCTTCACAAAAGAGCAGCCAGTGACGAAAATGATCTGTGTAAGAAGAAACCCAAGGAGTTAGACGTTGAATGCACGGAAACGGTCATCAGAGATGTGGATAAGTTGCCCGCGGTGCTAGATGGCACTAAGGTCGAAAGTGATAAAGAGGATTTGACAGTCACCAAATCCAAGAACGGAGATGTGAAACAACAAGCTAAGGTAGTACCAGACAATACTGATGGCGGCAGCGACTCAGGAGTAGACAACCCTGCATACAATGAAACAGAAATTTCGACAATTTCCAAGAAAGATGACAAACCCAGCGGACTGTAGTTGTAATGTTACAATGTGTATAATTAAAAAATTAAGTTATTTGTGCGATATACAAAGTAGATTATAATTAATAATTATGAGATTAATAACATGACATACCTTTTGTTGACAAACAGATGTATATAATAGATTTATTGTTATTTATAAAAATTATAATGGTTTGTCTTAAAAATATTCTCTTATTTTACCACGCGACGTGTGCGTTGAATGGGTTTATAATTTTCATTATCAATTGACTTACACGAATGAGTATAATTATACTCTCTGACGTATAATTATCGATAACTAAAATCTGAAAATTAATTTTATAAATCAGAGGTAGGTAGTAGATATTCTACTCGTGTAGTTTAGTGAAAGTAGAGCTCCTTGTTCTTACCTATTTCTGCCGCCAAGCAGTAATATGAGCATTACTGCGTTCCAGTTTTGGAAGGTAAGGGTAGCTGGTGAAATGACCATACGGGGGCTCGGTGTCATAAAGACTATATCTTCAAAATGACCTGATCAGCATAAGAACTAGATAGCAAAACGACCATCTCTGCAGAAAGACTATAACTTACAAAGACTTGGTAGCAAAACGACTAGATTTTGTTATTGTTTTATCAAAATACAGTTTGGTTAAACATTAACTGTCACAGCGCGACGGGTGCGGTGCCAATGTTTCTGAGATGTTTGCAATTTAAAGCTCTGAGTGGCGCTGCCATGGATTGGCGTTTCGCTTACCACCACGCGCACTACTTGTTCGTCCCACCACTTGGACACATAAAAAAAATGCGCCTATCGAAATTAGAAATATCGTGTGGTAAAGCCACACACACGCTGCAGTAACAAAACAATTAGGGACACCGTGTGTTTCTGATTTATTTATTTCGTGACTTTGGATGTAATTTGTGGTTGTCTATGTGTGTGTGTCCATGGCACCCGCGATGCAGGGTTTCCCTAGTGCGTTATTAAAAAATTCCTGTACTATAAGTAAAGTACAAGAGCAACGGGATTCACTCTGGGACACTTCCCAAAACACGCAGACCAGAACCAATTAAGAAAAGTTAATTTCCAATTTGGACCTACCGGAAATCCAATAGAATCGAAACAGAACATCCAGCGCCCACAGTATAAGCCGTTGGGCCACCGAGTTCATCAAATAACCTTAATTATTCCATTCATTTTAAGGGAGATACACTATGTCATTCAGTGACGACTTATGTATGTCGCTAATAGTGTAAATTGTACCTCAGGCGCGGGTCATTCGAATCGTGTTCCTACTGTTCTACTTACTGCAGTACCGCTAAAAATTATCGCCATTTTGCCTTAGAATAATTTCACAGTGATATTTCAATATTTCTAACAGACCTCTTCATTTTCTAGTCAGATCACGAGGAGATCGCTCGTTGAAAGAGTTCAGAGTAAATATTATAATTACAAAATGAAAATTTTAACACTATCGACGTTACTTTTATGTTTATTAGAAAATGAACTCGCCACCGCTTTGAAATTGCCGGGACCGCTTGTATATGTGGTAACACCATCCCTGAGACCTTTGACGATCGATGAAGGACGATCAGCACCTCAACCGTTTTACTACCACAACTGGATGCGAAGAATGGATTTGCCCATGAATACGACAACCACCTCGACTACTACGCCTCGAGTGAAGACGCCTGATTTAATATTCGCCGAATTTGAATCGGATAAAAGGAAGAACATCAGGAAATTGCTGGAGAAAGAAAGGGTAAATACAATGACATCAACGATAACCAAACCAAAACACGTGCTAGATGAAATTATGCACGAACAGCCTGAAAACTATGGATTACCATCACCCACAACTGAAAGGGAAGATATGAAAACGAATGTCACAAATGTGACTGATTATTTTGCTTTGTATAACAGTATGTATAACAGCGCAGATAATTTACCGTCTCCTGTGTATGAGCCTTCTTCGACATCGTCAACACAGAAACCGACGACGACACTTAACTCTGAAACGCCGACTCCCATGAATAATGTGGGACACATTTGGCACATTATCAATAGTGAGAAACATAATCAATATAACGGTGGATGGAACGAAGTACCTATTAGTACGCACGATCAAAATGGAAAACAAGAGACGGTACCAGAATATAGCTATCAGGAAACTCAGGAACAAATAGATGAGGACGACAAAGCTGACCAAATAGACAACAATTTTGCATTACCCGGGTGAGTATTTAAATTGAAAATAAAATGAAAAGAGAAAACTTAAATTCTAACATTTTCAATTTTAATATATTTTTACTTTTTGCTCAGTTTCAGCAGTAATTCTGTTAAAGGAGCAGATAATGAATCTCGGGCTATACGTACCGAATCTAACATCCGTTACCCATACGTTAATTTACAACCTTTCCAAATGAAAAATATGAATAAACCTCCAATGAATTCAAACGGTAAAAAAGGAAACAATATTTACACTAACTTGGATAATTTCTACGACTTAAAAAATCCTGTAAGAGGTGAGGCTCAAGATGTAGTGTATTTGCGACAGCCAATAGACAGATATAATCCTGCTCAACCATACTTACCATCGCAATACGGAAGTAAATCTAAACAATCGAGTGCGAGTTCAACGTCAATTAAGACTGCAGCTAATCTTGTACCACCTCCCCCTCCTCCTCCACCGCCTAAAGCCAGTGCTGATGATTTCCCAGCGCCAGTGAGCTACGACTCTTTTCCACCGTATGCACCACCTGCACCTGATGCTGAACGTCCTCCTATTTCGAAACCATCGATATCAATATCTCCATCGGAACCTGATGTAGATGACGACTCATTTTCCGATCCTGGTGAGGTAGATTTGGGATATCGATACAAGCCCACAATCGCATCATTACCAAAACCATTCGGAGGTTACTCTTATAATAAACCGATGACCGATGATACCCCTCCCTCAATGGAAACCGACGATCACTCAGAGTTTGGAGGATATCATTACGAAAAACCTGCACCATCAAAACCTGATTTTGAAGGATATCATTATAGTAAACCAGAAGCAGCTGCTCTACCGACGTATGATCTTCCAGCTTTTGATCACGGGTCTCAGTCGCATGAGAACGATTATCCTGTATTTATTTTCGACAAACCTCACAGTGGAAAAGGAGGCGATAAAGAAGCTAACGATATGAAAGATGACGACATAGGAATGGTGCCACCGCCGCCTGCGCCAAATATGATGAAACCTGGAATTAATGATCCACCAATGGACGATAGTGGCTTCCCACATGATATTCCCGGGGATTTAAAATTTTATCATGATGACCACGATTTTTACCATCACCACCATCCTATAACTACGACTACAACGACAACAGAAATGCCGCGTGTTAACAGATACAGTTATTACTATTTAGGGAAAAAGTTGTATTACTTACCACTGTACTTTAGTGTGTACTTCATTGTATACGTAGGAGCTCTTGTTATCAAGGCTGTGTTACGACACAAGATCGTATACCCGAACAGCTATAAGCCAAACTCGGACACTGCTAGCTACTTCTCTAAAAGATCCGTAGGCTCAGAGGAGTTCTCTAATAAGCGTCTTCATGAAATTACTAGCAAGGTAACACATGCCATTGCTACTGCAGCAGACCGGTATATTAAAAATAAAGACATGAAAGGTGATTAAGAACTTTGCTAGTATATCGTAACCTTGATGTGATAAGGCCAGAACTGCAGAATAATAACTTTTCAAGAGATCTTTAAAGATGTTACGAACGAAATTAGCCGATAACTTTTTATACTTAAATAGAAGAGTTATAAAATTTCTATAAATTTTATAAAATTTGTTTCATATAGTAGTAGTTCGTATTATTTTTATGACTTTCATGTGATAAAAGTACTTGATCACATGTGGCATTATTATACAAAAGGTACGATATACTGAAAATAATTGATTGGGTAAAGGTAGGATAGGTTGTAAATAAAACAACTGAATACAACTGAATTGTAAAATCTTCGCAGGTGTGATAATACATAAGTAATAACGCTGTTGTGAACTGAGCATATTTAATACTAGTTTGTTATAGTTATTTATTATAACTTCAATTTTCATTAAATGTAGTTTATTGTCACAACGAAAATGTTAATAAATATGAATTTATAATTTTATTCAAAGTTTTGTTCTTAGTATCCTAATGGCCTTATAACAGTATCCACTGAATTCTGCTTACAATCCTATAACAGACAAGACCACCTGCACTTTATGTTAAATAAATATACATATTTGTGTACTATATGAACAATCTTTAGTAGTCTATAAAAGGTGGATTTTTGTTTAGGGATTCTAATTTCTAAACACTTTGATTGAGCTTTTTAAGGTACTGTAGTAAATAAATATACAGTTAATTATTTAAATTGGCCTTAAAATGTAAATAGTTTGGCCAAATTCTATGACAACCCTTCGCGATTGCTAAAAAATGAAAAAATTAGGAAAATAACTGTCAGTCAAATTAGGTATGAGGTAACTGGTTCCTATTACTTTTTTAATATTCTGAGGAAAGCAGGGTCTGAAATTTCTTAATAATTGAATGGTATTTATTTATAGTACCTACTTCATGGCACTACACAACAACAACGTTAACGGAAGAAGAATCGAATGAATAAAATATACCTTACACACATTAAAATACGTCCAATATTTACTTTGAAATTAATCTTTTCCAATTGTATTTCTTGCATTCATTGTCTTTATTTTCAATGTCATACTACGACTATTCCATTCATGTAACCCCATTCAGAAGAAAAGTTCCTTAGAATATTTATTGAGTGTAAGTGGTAGAGTAAACGCACTGTAGACTATTAGAATGTCCCTAATGGGCACATTGTGATCGAAATGATAAACGCGACAATGGATTTTTCTTTATAATGATCCAATTGGAATGTTCATGTAAATGAAGGACTATTGCCCCACTTTTATAAAGGTCACTTTTTACCTTATCCATTTTGTTTTAGAAGGTACATAGTGCAAGAAAATTGTATTAGGGCTAATTTTCAGTAGTAGTGAAATGTATAAGGGTTGAACACGGCTTTAATAAGATGTTTTGGAAAAGTAAAGAACTAGAAAAGTTAAGGTACGAAATAATAGATTCCTAAACAGCATTTTATAAAATTTTATCAATCTATTTTGCGCAATATATATAAAAAATACTGCACAGAAACTGACTAAACCATTTAAATTGGAGCTAAACTGTACTAATTTCTATATTTGTGAATAGAAATAGATAGAGAGATTTGCCTTTATTTTATTTTCAACATTTGCAAATTAGATGTTACTGTTTCTCCCTCGTGCGTCTAAATAACCTTTATAAGGTACAAACGTTCTCGTATTAATTATAGAGTTCATATATATTTAAATATTAAATACAGTGTCTTGCAGTACGAGTATTTTTATTATGTGTCATGTATACAATGTTTCATTATTGGTACGTCGTAATTCAAAGGAATAATCGTAGGTAATTCATTCTATGAATATAGATTTCGCATTTGCATTTTCTTTTGAATGTTCTATTAAAAAATTTTAATCCTCCTTAATTGTTTAGTTAGTACATTATAAGATAGAGAGAAGAATAAAGTCAGTACCAATCAGTTGTCTCTTGTGACGTTTCTTAATTTTAGGTACATATAATATCATATTAAGCTTTTCTCTACACTGCGACTTTGAGTCGTGCTGTAAATTAAATTGACATGCGATCGGTACCACTTATTACTGGTACGGAGAGTGTTTGCAGAATTCATAATTTCAGTTGCTCCCTTTTCATGTGTAACCGGGGCGCAACGATTTGAAGTGGCCAGTCGCTCTTTCATCATCCCGCCGAGCACTACAGTAAAGTCATAAAATATAATCGAAAGTATTAAAAATAGTTGCGTGGTTTTTGAAAAGAAAAATTTCAATAAAATACATTTTCTTCGTATAGACGATTTCATTTTTGTAAAAGGATTGTTTTTAAATGCAATGGTTAAAGTTTCGAAAGGCGCGGTGATGGTTTTGTGCCATGGGTTGGTTTGGGCAGCAGCAGCTCTGGCGCTGTGGGTGGGCGGTGCCTCAGGTGAGAGAGCTCGCTACGACACAGCGACGCCCTACACTCCGCCCTACTCGAAATACAAATACATACCTTTGCAGTAAGTACTTTTTTCCTTATTTGCAACATATTCTAATATATACCTTATAAACTTCTGTCAGTTTTTTGTTTTCTATGAAACATAATATAGACATTGTTGTCGTGACAAATATTTTAAACTTTAATGTAATTTTTGTAAATCAACTCAAATAATAACCAATTTAGGTGCAATTAATAATGTAATTTTTAAATAAAAAATGTTTTTTTGGGTTTCATCGACTGATGTCGTAAACTTTATTATTTGTCGTATAAAATTATGAACATTTTTACACCGAAACAACATTTTTCAACAACATCGTGCTTGTTGAAAAATGTTGTTTCGGTGTAAAAATGTTCATAATTTTATATTTTACTCATTGTAATTAAGCTAATTGTAAGATTATTAACCTTGATTACATCTGACCAAACCCGATCATTGTCAATTAAAATCATATTTTGTAGTAATCCATTTCCCACACAATTATGTTTTGGTTGATGCAAATAGTATTTGTTCTACCTAAACGAATGTAAGTTAGTATATTTGCTACTGTAGTGTTAATAAATTATAGGCAATTAAAGAAGAAGGTGTCAGCAATCTAATCGCAGTTATTTTTATTCACAAACTTTTTTAGTCCTGCACGATACGAGCCTGAAGAAATGCCAGTCGAGGATGAGGAACCTTCTCGCGGCGGCATGCCTCCAACCGAGCTGATCCTGACAGGTCTTCGTACGATTCTTGACGTTGTGCGGAATATCAACAAAAAGAGAGCGCAGCAGCAGACGTTGTCGGGCATAGGGCGCAATAGTACTGGAATTGAGGTACCTAAGTGTTTAATGGTCCTCTTTAATTTTTTTGTATTAATGTACGTAGGGCGAACTATAAGTTTCCGGAACTGGCCACATACATAAACAATATTTAAAAAGTAATTACAACACTTGAAAATGAAATTCCTTGGCTGTAGAATACAGTTTGTTTTATCTGGTTGTCGCTTGCTTTTACATTGTGGCGTCATTTTAGAAATTGATTGTCTACACCACCATGGATTTAACTCGTGAAAATTTTCGTAGTATGATTTTTTACGACTTTAAGCGTATTTTAACAGCTCAGCGGAGCTTCTCTCAGCTTCAGGCTGCTTTTGGCAATGAAGCATCATGCAAGACGACTATTCATAGCTGGTTTGCAGAATTCAAAGGCGGTCGTGTGAATTTCAGTAACGAATTTCGTGATGGTTGCCCATCAATTGCTGTGAACAACAAAAACTTCGATGCTGTGCGCCGTATGATCAAAACAGACAGGCATGTGACATACCATGAGATTCGGGCATCTTTAGGCATAGGCACGAGTCAAATACAATCAATTCTACACAAACATTTGGGTGTGAAAAAGCTGTGCTCTCGTTGGATCCCACACAATTTGACTAAGGCTCAAAAAACGGATCGCGTCACTTGAAGGGGTGTCAAATTTGGTGTGGGACATAGTAACAGGAGGTGAAACATGGATTTATAGTTACGATCCCAAAACAAAGCAGCAATCGAGCTTATGGGTCTTTCGGGATGATCCAACCAAAGTGGTGGGCGTACAAAGTGTCTCTTAGCGGAGGACTGCTTCTTTTCTTAATAAAACTGGACACGTGGCTAACTGTTGCTTTGGAGAATCGTTGTACCGTGAATAGTGATTGGTACACGACCATTTGTTTCATGGAAGTTATTGACAAACTCCGTAAAAATAACCGTAAACGCCGTATCACCTTGCACCACGATAATGCCAGTTTTCACACGGCCAGACAGACAAATGAATTTTTGTAGGTGAACAACGTTGACCTTATGAGCCATCCCGCATACAGACCCGACCTGAGACCTTGTGACTTTTAGTTATTTTCAAAAATTATTATATTATATAGATTTTCATCACCTGAAGAGGATGTCGAAGAGTATGAAAAATATGTTTTAGAGATTGTCACGGAGGAGTGGCATAAATGTATTCAAAATTGGTTCATTCGTATGAAAAAGTGCATTAACGCTAACGGAGAATATTTTGAGAAACAATAAATTCATTTCTAACCATTTATAGTATTTTTTTCTTATTCATCCCGGAAACTTATAGTGCGTCTCACGTACTAAGAAAAATACTTTTGCTTAAGTAAATACGAAATATCCTAACCGGATAACCATAATTGACAGATATCTTGATATAAATTATTAGATTTACTATATATAAAATTTGTGACATAATTCCAATTAATTTAATTGCCTCCGTGGCCGAACTGTTACCATGCCAGACTGCCTCGCAGAGGTCGCAGGTTTGATTCCCGGGCCGGAAGACAATTGTATGGCCTACATTTATTTCTCTTGTGAGTTTGTGTGTAATTTGTGGTTGTCTATGTGTGTGTCCATGGCACCCACGACTCATGGTATCCCTAGTGCAGGGCTATGTTGAGTATGTGCCTTGTCATTTAAAAAAGAGAGCTTGATATCATAATACGTATGAATTGTTACTTGAATAAACGTTAACGATTAATTTATTTAGATTAGTTAGTTTAGATTAGTTAGATTAGTTCGTTATGTAGTGGAAGTCTCAGCCTATCTTGATGGGAAAATGGAGTGAAGCTTAGGCATGTACTTACTCGTTACTCCACCTAAACAGAAAAAAATTGTGACCACGAGATCTAAGAGCACAAGAGTTTGCCATTATTTTTGCTTACTTGTGTATTGTAGGCGCTTGCTTATCACAAGCTTGGTCTACATTATTCACAGTCCGGTTTTGTCCTAGGCAACATTTTTCACTACTAGATAAATAAATGCATTGTCGTCGTGAGACGTAGAAAGACGTGAAAAGACGTGAAAAGTAGAGTATTTGAGTAAATCTGTGTTAGTTAACGGTTTCTGTAGAAGTGGGTGAGGCGTGGGGTGCTAACTGCTAGTTAGACACCCCGGATAAATTTGGACAAGTGTCTCGGTGAGTTTACACGTCCGTGACAACAGCTATATGCGATTTATCGCATTTTAATGAGTCGGGTGCTAATTTAAAGAGATTTAGGTCACCTACATTAATTAATTTTCTGTTTAGGAACCATGAAGTCTATGACACGCATATGTCCTTGAGCAGAATTGAAAATAAGCAAACTTGGATCTCATGTGGCAAACAAGAGCATCTGACTAAAATTATGTACTTAAAATAGTTACGTTTTCAAGACGAGACATCTTTTCTTCTTTGTATAGTTTCTAGTATCGCGCACTTTGTTTTGACAGTGATATAAGTTATATTGAAAATTAGTTGTGCAGCAGAAATTAAGTAACCATACTTTGCTCATCCAAATTAGGCCTGTCCTCACGTTCTAGATTTGTTATAGACAGGTATATTGCAGTTGACGTGTATAATTCGAAAATGTTCAGGATTCGCTTCGTTTACAAATTAATCACTCGCGTACTATAATTGGTCCATCTATCCTTGACCCTTTTAGTTATCTTGAAAATTATTAATGTTCGAGATTCATTTCAACTTGTTATGCTGACTTTGGCTCGTAAAATAAAATAGTAATAAATATATTTGAAAATTTTTATGTTTACTCAATTGATTTTTTTATGATTCTCAAGTACTGGAGAAGTGGGGCAATCATCTCAAATTGTCGTCTACGATAAAAAGTGGGATTAGTACTAAGAACAATTTTCTGTACAAGTACGTGTGGCGCACTATAAATTTCCGGAATGAATAAGAAAAATATACTATAAATAGTCAGAAATGAATTTATTGTTTCTCAAAATATTCTCCGTTAGCGTTAATGCACTTTTTCATACGAATGAACCAATTTTGAATATATTTGTGTCACTCCGTCGTGACAATCTCTGAAACATATTTTTCATACTCTTCGACAGCCTCTTCAAATGATGAAAATGTATATATTTTAAAATAAATAAAAGTCACAAGGTACCAGGTCGGGTCTGTACGCCGGATGGCTCATAAGATCAACGTTGTTCACCTTCAAAAATTCATTTGTCTGTCTGGCCGTGTGAGAACTGGCATTATCGTGGTGCAAGATGATACGGCGTTTACGGTTATTTTTACGGAGTTTGTCAATAACTTCCGGCAAATAAATAGTCGTGTGCCAATCACTATTCACGGTGCAGCGATTCTCCAAAGCAACAGTACCCAGGTGTCCAGCTTTATTAAAAAAAGAAGCAATCAGCCACGTAGAGGCACTTTGCACCCGCGCCGCTTTTGTCGGTTTTGGCTCATTTCGAAAGACCCATACACTCGATTGCTGCTTTGTTTTGAGATCGTCACTATAAATCCATGTTTCGTTACTTGTTACTATGTCCCACTCCAAATTTGACGCCCCTTCGTTGTATCGTGGTAAGCGTGGCATTGCACCAAGTGACGCGATCTGTTTTTTGAGCCTCAGTCAAAGTGTGTGGGATCCACCGAGAGCACAGGGTTTTCACACCCAAATGTTTGTGTAGCATTGATTGTATTTGACTCATGCCTATGCCTAAAGGTGCCCGAATGTCATGGTGTATCACATGCCTGTCTATTTTGTTCATACGGCGCACAGCATCGATGTTTTTGTTGTTCACAGCAGTGGACGGGCGACCATCACGAAATTCGTCACTGAGAATCACACGACCGCGTTTGAATTCTGCAAACCAGCTATAAATAGTCGTCTTGCATAGTGCTTCATTGCCAAAAGCAGCCTGAAGCCGAGCGAAGCTCCGCTAAGCTGCTAAATTACACTTAAAGTCGTAGAAAACCATACTACGAAAATTTTCACGAGTTAAATCCATGGTGATGTAGATAACCAATTTCTAAAATGACGCCACAATTTAAAAACAAGTGACAGTCAGATAAAACAAACTGTATTCTACAGCCAAAGAGTTTCATTTTCAAATGTTGTAATTACTTTTTAAATATTGTTTATGTAATCGTCCAGTTCCGGAAACTTATAGTGCGCCACACGTACTAAGAGCCTTTGCGCACTACGTCCGATTGGTATCAGTTCCGAATCCGAAAAATGACCCGAAAATGGTAAGAAATGTCACAGGGATCATTTTATATCCATGTGTACAAGCGATATTCGTATTTTCACGGATTTCAATTGTACTTAGTGCATAAGCTACATCCGAAGTGAGCCCGAGTTTTCTAGATTTGTATAGCCTCGGACTCGAAACGAATACGAATCGTATGCAGTGCGCAAGGCGCTTAGTGTTATTTTTAACAAAATATAAATGTAGCGAACTAAGTACCGATAAAATTTTACTCAAAGGTTGAGTCATGTGTGTTATTGAAATGAGAGTGTATAAAATTGCTCTACACACATAATATTTAAAAGGCTTCTTTTATGTCTAAAACTCTCCAGATGAATAAAACAAAATTAAACGCTTTCGTTTCAGGTACGTCGAAATAAATTGAAGAATGACACAGTGGGAATCGGACGAGGGTTCGAAGACTATTACGATGAGCACCATTATCATGACCATGATACTACTACGACCACTGCCAAGCCGATGAAACAGGGCCGGTACACCGATCCCTGGGCTGGGTACTACGACTGGATCATCAATGAGGGATCCTTCAAATTCTGGAGTGCTTTCCAGGTTAATCAGATTTAGTTTACGTTTTAAATGAAACTTTATTTTTAATTTGACTATGTAGATGTCGTAAAATTGCTATTTCTAGTTCATGATATCAAATGACAGGGCCAATAAATCGTGCGCCTGGTGGTATGCCACACGCCTGCCCATAACAGCAAAGATATTAAAGATCTGAGTGGCGCTGCCGCTGCGCCCGTCAACCCTGAGACATATGTTGATAAGTCTCGTGTGCATGTAATTTCACCAGCACCCTTAACTTTCAAAACCGGAACACAATAATGCTCGCATTGCGGCAGAAATAAAACAGTTACTAATAAAAAACAAGTTACTTTGGTTTATAAATTAAACTCGTCATTGTTTCAAGCTGACAAATGGTTTTGACCTCAAGTGCAGTGTAGCGCATCATAGCGACAAAATATTGCTGATATGGCTTTATGAAAAAATAGCTATTACGCTCTGGCTCGTTGACAAAAAGTTATAATAAATGACAGCAGTTCATAACATTGACATAGTTTTAAGGCTGGTGCGGTAACTTCAGTTCTGATCGTCAAGAAAACTCAAGGAGCCGTATGAACCTTGTTACTTTATGTGTCGTTGAAGCCATGCGTTTCCTACGTAGTACGTCTTATTTGCCGACCCACCAGCTTACAAGAGGTCAATAAAACCACGATAAAACCACGTTCGCACTGCGCATGTTTGCGTAGACTACTTTGTAATTATGCATTGTTATTGAGTGTTTTCCCACGCTAATTGAAACTAAATTTTCATATGCGTCTTATTGAAAATTATTTAATTGATTGGTCGTCCGGAGTATTAATATAATATATTAATATAATAATGGCCCTGAGAATAACAATTCTCAGGGCCATTTTCTAAGTGGCTCTTCTTTAAATTGGTTCCGGATTGTTCTTTGGCGTTCAGGTTATTAAACCATTTTTTTTTATTAAGATGCAGTACTGAGATATGATATGAGAAGACGTACTGAGAGTCATTGTTACCATTGCCAATGTTATGTTTTAGAGCATTAACGATCGTTTTTGGTGATTTTTCGCTGTATAATCATACATATAGTTAATCTTAAAAGTAGTGATTTCATGAAGTGATTATATATACTTGCCCTCATTACTATGCCACAATATGATGTGATTATTTTTTGATGAAATTTAATGGTGTGCACGATCTAACTATCGATCTTGTACCATACAGGAGGAAATACACCGTCAAAATTAATTTATAGAATCAATGTTGTCGAGGCGTGTGGGTCGCGGTATTGAACCTAGGCTTACGCTTGTTGCTCATCAACGTGCATGTAAGGCAGAGGTCTTTCTTAGAAACCATTAGGTAATGATAATGATAATAATAATAACAAATCGTTTATTATTTATTTAAAAACGTAAAAACATCTAAATTCACAGCCCACCAAACTGTAGGGAAATGAAGTCTACTTACTAATCTACTTACCTATTTCTGCTGCCAAGCAGTAATGTGAGATTTACCATGTTTCGGTTTTGAAGGGTGCTGGTGAAATTACAGGCACATGAGACTTGTCAACTTATGTCTTAAGATGACTGTCGCAGTTGCAGTGCCCCTCAGATCATTGCGATTTAAAGATCTGAGTGGCACTGCAACTGTTATGAACACTTCCGTCACTAGGTATCATAAAAAAAGAAAAACAATCTATTTGGTAGTGATAATAAACTTTCTAAAATAAGGGGATTCAGGTAAAACTGTAAAAAGATTGAACACAATTGAGTTTTCAGTAACGTGTCTATAAATTTAATTTTCGTTCGCAGCTTTTCACCGCAGCTCTTCTCTTGTATGCCTGTCTCTCTGCCATTTACTACGCTAAATTCAACCCAATCATACCAGATTACAATATGGAATACGATGACTACTTCCTCCAGAGGAGAGTCGGCAGGAGTGTGGACGCGTCGGAAATGCCTTCAGGATTAAGTTGGATGAACTCACAAACGTTCCAGTTTATAATGAATGCTATTACCAAACATTACGAATAGGAATACTATATAGATAGATATTAAGCAATGACTGACTCCAAGATAATAAGAGCGTTCTGTGATTGATAAGAAAAGTTTATTATCACACTTTTGCAGATTCCCGTATTTCTTAAATTTAAAGTATTAGTAACACTGAAGAAGCTAGCTACTTAAGAATTTATGAAATACATTGTCTATGCCGATTGTGAACTGGCAACAGGCCCTATCTCAATTTTGGCAACTTTACAGGTGAAGAATAAAATTGTTTGCGTCGTTTATATAGCATCTGGTTTATTAAATAAAAATACGTAGTATGTATGTACATACATGTGTAATAAAAATATTTAACAGCTACATACAACACTTTTTTCTTCACCTGTAAAGTTGTCAAAATTGAGATAGTACCGATTGCCAGTTCACAGTCGATATTATACGGTATAAATAGTGGAATGACTATTATGGTATGCTTTTGGATTACCTCTATTGTTGATAAAGGTGTCGTTTTGATTTCTTTTCTTTACGATAGTAAGAAAAGATTATCCTAAAATTATCTTGCGAACTATTCTTTACAGGGCAACGATATTGAGGTAGTTAGTATAAATATAGTAATTTTGTTTATTTGTTACCCTGTAACGAAATGTAGGTTAGAAATATATGATTCGATTTGACCGATTTCTCGAATCGGATCTATATTTGTGATTTAGCGACTTGCATAGGTAATTATTTACATACAAAACTATATACAATAAATTGTAGATATAGTTTTACTTAACTATATTATAAGTTCTTTCACGTTTAAACAACGTAATTATGCCAGGCGTATATTAGTTCCTTCATAGTATAATAAGGTAAATAAATTATTTCAATATTTCGTCTTAAAATAAATTTATTTAATTCCTGTAAAGTGAAAGTAACTCTACGAGCAATTCTGAATATACGTATTAGTTATATATGTGTATGTATTTGTACTCTAAAGAAATAAAGGTAGGACGGTATAAAATACAGTCTATGTTTATTTGCAATATAGCTCCAAATGGTAGTCAATGAATTGCTTCACTCTGCGAAGAGCATTCGTTGTTTTTCGCTTGGGAGTTTGAGACAATCTTTACGTAAAAAAAATTCAAAATTATTTATTTCTCTTTGGCAGAATGTTTCACTTTAGTATTAGTATTATATTGTACTCGTACTATATGTTACGTATAGTTATTATATTATTTTCCGTGTCGTCAATTTGAATATTATAATTAATCCAAAATACTCAAAGAAAATGTTTATGTAAAATTTTTATGCAATGTAAAGACATTTTAAAGAAAGTTCACAATAAAGCTTGTGAAATTACATCACTTCATCACGAGTTTGTAGAAAATAGTAAAGTAAGTAAAAGCTATTAAATTCCTTGTGCTGACGTAGTTAGGTAGTTGTGGAAGCTTGTGGTCGTACTACAACATCACATGTGGCAGCGGCGTGACAGGCTCGAGTTCGATGTCCGGCCGGGCCGCGGCTTATAGGATATGCACAGGATGTCGTCAATACATTTGTTTCCATAAAAAAATATTTTTATTACATTATATTTATGACTGTTGTTTGAAATGAGGTGTATTTGGTATCGAATTGTTTATGTTAATTATTGTATCCAATATCTACTTATTATTATTAATTGTATGTATTAGGCTTTATATTTTAAACTAAAGACATTTACTACTATAATAAAGTTGAGTAATTATTTACTTATCTGCTTACAGTTCAACCATTACTCGATATAACTTAAACATTAAAAACATCTGGTCAAATTACAAGTGTACTTTTGTATGAGCATGATGTATTCGTAGTTCATCATGTATACGGAATCCACATAAACCATTTATAGTCTTTTACCTAAGTTCAGTGCCCACCACCATAAACTACGATTCTAAGGCAGCTATAAAAATACTAAGTTCGATCTCATCTGCAAGCATCTGACTCACGAGATAAACCGAAAACTGTATTCATATTGCTCTTAAAAATAATTAGCTCGTATCTGTAAAGTACAGTTACGTTTAGCTGATTACTATAGATACGGAGAGAGCGATCATTGATCGATCAATTAAGCTATCGCGAGCTCCGGCGCTTGGCTACAACACAGTTTCCAAACTGTTTCTGCGGTTTGCTATCCATCTGTAGAGCTGGGCCCGCGCTACAATTACTTGACGCTCGAATGGTGTGCGTATTATACGGTGAAATTGAGAACGCAGTAGTCTGTAGAGCGGCTGGAATAGTAGCACGACGGCACAACGCGGGCAGGTTGGCGCGCCAGTTCAACGATCAAGTGCAACGCGGACGCACACTCAACGAGCCCGTATTCCGGCGCGGATGCGCGCACGCTGCCGCTAACGCCGCGTCCTACATTTGAATTTCGTACAAATTACAAACTCATTGTTTTAAGTATTTAAAAGAAATAGACTTCGCTATTGTGAATGAGTGTGTGTTGAGACCGTAAATTTACTTGTACTCAAATTGAAGACTACTTACGGGATCTTATTGGGATCAGACATAAAGGTTTGTATGCTTTTTCTCGAATTCTTATTTAGTAAATACCACCATGCCATAATTACATATTTAGGTGCATATTTTTAAATATTTATAAACCAACTTTAATTTTGTAACTAAGCAAAATTAACAACGAATTGCAGATGGAACAATACATACTGTAATTACTTTGTTTGCAAATTTCAGTATTTGAATATCGAATATGTTTCACAAAATGACTATCTACAACTTATTGTAAAGTATAGAAGTTTCTGGCATCTTTTTGAGTTAAGTCATACCAAGGGAATTTTTGCCACTATCTCTGCGGTGTGCGGCGGGTGCCTGCGTTCTTCCTTTGAAAAGACATCAACGAGCGCATCCTCGCATACTTTTCCGATACATGGCTTTGTAAACTGCTATATTTTTCGCTAGCAGATACAGCTTTACCTATTTCATGTTTTCAAGTTAACTCTATGTGTGTTAAAGTACACTTATAGGGCGCATGTTTATAATTAATTATTTCCTATGATATAAACATTACATTCTTACATATTATAAAACGATAATTACCTTAAGGTAACTGTCAGTGTATATGAAATTGTACGGTATAAAAATAATTAACATAACTAGATCATCGCCCATACGTCAATGTGTATTTGACAATAGTTAAATTACTAGTTGAATAAAATTAATTTAACCGGCTATCGCCAAAATATTCTATTTAATTCCCAAAGCATATTTTTAAATAATATTCTCAGTAATATGTATATACTGTTATCTGTATGTAAAACAAGTAATAGTAACGGGGAACTGTCGCTAGAAATATGACCACGGGCGGAGCTCATTTTATTTTAATATATTACGGATACCAGTTTTAGAAATGCCTCTCAGGACAGGAAGCTAGAAATTTGTATATCTCTTTGAATTACATCGTTTTTTCATGGTTATTTATTGACATTTTAAGGAGAAAAATGTCTTCGAAATGTTATTTATTCAGGATGAGGTTTACGTATGCCTACAATTACTTATTACTTGTTACTGTATTTGACGACCTCCTGGTCAAGAGGTTTGCACACAGGTTTTCATGATGTCGCCATCTTTCAGGTCCCCGGTTCGATTCCCGGATAGATCAATGTAAAAAAATATTATTTCTAGTTGGGGTGTTTGTGGTACCGTTGTTATTTCCGAAACACAAGTGCTTTAGTAACTTACTTTGGGATCAGTGTAACGTATGTGATATTGTCAAGTATTTATTTATTATTGTTATCAAGATTCTTATTATATTGAATGCACCCTAAGACCTTATTAAAACATCATATTTCTTAATTTGAAATTACAATGACAAACCAATCACACCAAGACAAATGATGCGTGGCTTAATAGCGATGTAGCGGGACGCCACCGTTGACACACTTACGACAACATTACAACCATGCGATAATTTTATGCCACAACGTAGTTACTCACATTATCTCATGTGAACTTGCATATTTACTGCCAATGGTAGCTTGTAATGAACGTATTTTATGGCATTCAATCGAGTTTACTGGAGAACCAGTTGCAGCGCGTCTCTACATGGCCTCGCAGATTTCTTGTCTTTTCACAGATATAAGTTATAATTGTTCTACCGCTTATAATTAATTGTGGCAGAATTGTGAGGGGTTGTCCCGCACGTCTTTATAATGAGTTTTGCTTTGAAACATAAACAAAGCTTTCGGTTTATGGTGTAGACAACTCATACCCAGAAAGAATAATAACAGCAGCTAATAAACTTTCATAAGTTCTCATAGATGGCGCTACGGCAAAAAAGTCGTTTATAAAGCATTACAAAGATCCGCAAGAGAAATTCGTAAGATCAGCTGCCTCGGTCTTTAGCTCAGTTGGAAGAACGGTAGTCTGGTTTGGTATACAGATATTGGTTCGAGTTCAGTGAGAGCGAAGAAATTTTTCTTTTTGTTTATTTGGTCTTGTCGTGGTTATTATCGATAATAATAGAAAACTAGTGTAATATTTTCACAAAAATATACGACTATCTGGGTAGTAAAAAACATCATGATATTCATTACAAAATAGTATTGCCGAATAATATCGTAAAATATGAACATCTATTACATCTATTGAACGAAGTCGTTTCTACAAAACGACTTAGATAATTTGACTTACTTATTAACGCGTTCCAATTATGTTAGAGTGATTTTTTGTAAGTCGTCATCGTATTGATTATGCGAACGCATAATTATAACATATACATTATTTCATGAAAAAACAATAGCCTATGAAAACAAATAATGTAGAGAATAAATTGACATCCTGCATAGTGTGTAACATTATTGCAAGTTGAATGAAAATATATTTTGTGATGTGCCGTGAAATAGTTTAAAATATTGCTTTCAAATTTTTTCAAAGATTCTTTTCGAAAAATTAATCACAAAAAAGTATTATAACACTACCGATTTTTTTACAAACAACAACTTATGAATTACACGATTAGATTTGTTTGGTTATAGCATTGACGCATTTTTTGTAGAAAAACGCACAAACTTTTTTATCATCGATTGTTACGAGAAATATAACGGTACTAATAATCCTCAATATTAGATAATAACTCTGTCAGTTTATTTACTAGTTTTTATACAAATCGTAATCTTAGTTCCTCCATAGAGTTCACGAGCCGACACTGTTAGCCATTCAATGTTAATGCATACGTTCCTTCACTGCACATCATGCAATCCATTGAATATGGCTGTTATGTTTGTTGTCTATGTTGTCATACTACCTCAATCGTATTTGAAAAGCATCGATAATTGTTAAGATGACTGTGTGAGCCTTAAAAGATTTTACATGAACAACATAGAAGTTTTTACATATGACTATTAAAAATTACACTACATATTTATTTATTTATTTAATTGCGTCACACAAAGCACAAAGAAATTAGATATTACATTCAAGTACTACGATTTATATTGATTCAAGAATATTATACTTGAGTTATTATTTCAGTAATAAGTACTAACGAATAATTGCAAAATTTTTTTCTTAGAACACAAAATTTTATCTGTATACCGTCATTTGAATATTTTGTTAACACGTACTCTCTGTAGAAACTTTAAGATACCTTATATTTCTCGCTAAGTGAATTTCAGAAATAAAAATCTTAACCATAAACCGTTAATTAAAATTATAAAATGGTAATTATTATAATAATAAAAAAAAACAAAGAATAAACTAAACTTGCATGTTGAATTCCTATTAAATAATTTAATTAGATGTATGATGCGTCATGTCGAGGCCGAAGAGGCTCACGGACCTACCCTGACTCTTCAGATGAGGACGACCGGTGATTTCGTGACATGATATCTCTTAACCATAATGTCGGCAGCAGGAAACGCATGCGCATCACTAAAATTAAAAAAAATCTTATTATCCGACGATTACGTCGTCAGCCTATAAGCAAAATGATTTAACGGTCTGCACGCCTTGTGATTCGCGCTTGTTCTTTGTTATGGCTGTAGAAGTTAAGTTCCATTACAGTTTCGTAGCTTGTCTTTATACTTTTATGCTATTTAATTATGAAAAATATTCAATGTAAACACATTTGTGACAACATCGTTGTGCTTTTGTTGAGAATTGATATTAACCATGATTTTACATACTTAAAAATATCATGAGATATGAATAACAAAGAAATTAATTTATAGATTTAAATCAACGTCATTCTACTGCATGCATTGTAATGCATCAACTGAAATGCAATTAAATAAATATATAGGTACAATAAGCTTCGTGTAACCATATGTATTAGCACTTTATTTTTCATTGATGTGTGTGATCAATTCATTTACCCGTGTCGTCTGTGTCTTGTGGCAGTGTTCAGTTCCCACGGTCCTAGAGGATCTCATATTAACTTCAGTGCGAGTTTGTAGGCTAGGTACGTGTAAAAAGCAATTAGTTCTATTGTCACGGCTGGCTCGTGAGATGTTGGATGCGCTCGGTGTACCTCACGCACCGGTACCGTTCTCGTCCGAATTCTGAATGATTCGCGTTACTTCACCCAGATTCTTTCGTATCAAGGAGTCAACATTGAATTTTTATGACCATTAGTTTACGCAGGTTTATTAACTAGGTCAATAGGACTGGCGAATAATTAACCTGTGTTTAACCGTAAATTTATGTGTTCAGTGTTTTGCTGTTTAACATGTTTAAAAACACTGTGCATTGTTTGGTTAATGCTAAATAAAGGTGTCATGTCTCTAAAGCTGATTGAAGCCGCAAGCAGCTAAGCGATTGTGGCGCGGCGGCGGAGTGTAAAGGTGACATTGACATTGATCAAGCCACGCCACGCGCGGCTCTCGCCAACCGTTGAACTCTGGATGTGCTCTGTTTACCAACACTGCAAAAGAGTAGCTTCTTGCCTTCAACGTTTTATCTTGTTCTTTGTTGAGTCTGTCGTGTAATGACGATATTAGGAGCATTTCAAGTGATTCAAAGTCGAACTTCAAAAAATCTTTATTTTATTAACTGACTTCAAAAAAAGGAGGAGGCTCTCCATTCGACTGATATTTTTTTGTATGTATGTACGTTACGCGATAACACCGGTATTTGTGTACCTATTTTGTTTTTGTTTTTTTGTTGGAAAGAGACTACCTCAGTATTGGTCCTATTTAAATTATGATAAAGAAGAAAATATCGCACCTCTAAGGGTAGCAAACTAGGGGATCAATCCGGTTTTGCGCACTTTCCGGTAAGCGACTTCAATAAAATTTGACAAATAGATGTAATTCCACGAACTTTGAAGTTCGTTGTTTTTTTATAAAATAGTTATAGGTGAGCAAATTACACTGCAAATCATCATATTGATTAAATACTACTGCTCATTCATGAGGCTGATTACCCTAAGAAGAAAAAGCATGAAACTCTGGGGGTTACTCTTTAAGATTTACAACATTTATTTCAAACATCATAGATCGCTGCAGGAGCTAAACGGGTCATTACCACGGATATCTGTCATCCAAGTACGCAGAAGCTGTATAATAAATAACCTTTAATATACAGTTTCTTCCACTATATTTTGAACATCGTGAATGGCAAATTTTCAATATCAACCGGCATCTTATTATAGGAGCGTGTACATTGCCCTTTGAATGAATGATCAGACGTCTAATAAGTTCTAAATAATCGTTGCTCGTCATTTACCACATTGATGCTCAATATCGTATCGGTGTTATTACTTTCGTTGATACATTACCAACATACCAAGGTGTTTTAAAGGTTATCAAAGCAAAAGAATCGATTATCTACGTGGGTAAAGGATGTTTTTCGATCTGCTCGAAAATGTCACTGAAGGTTAAGAGGTTCAAACGTTTCTTTGCCTGTGATATTCTCTTTGATGTTTTGACAATATGTATCCTTGATCTGTTCATGCGGACAAATTTAATGAAGTAGGTACCTACAACGATAAGTTTGTGTTATTGGAAAAAAAGTCATATAAAACTTCCCCAGTTGTACAATAAAATATATTTTTTAAAACATACTGTGAATTGCCTTATTTAGTTTCTATGGAATATCCCAAATCGTTTAATTCACAGGTATTACTTGATCTTGGAGTATTTTTCCTTTACACAACCTTAGAGCACAGAGCAGGTATGCTGATAAGATGTAATTCCCACGGTGTGAGTCAGTGGCGATGCTCTAGCGGAGCAAGGTCTGGTCTTGGTCTGTTGAGCAACACAGTACGTGCTAACTAGCTATTACGACGTGCTGCACAAAGTCTAAGGGCACTCTTTGCCTGATGTATGTGTATGCACGCGTTCTTGGCGATTATATAGGCTATGGCAGCAGCGATAGCTGTGTATATAAAAAAGTCTCAATTAAAACTTCATTATAAAAAAACGTGGCTCAAAAGTTTGTGGAATTACGTCTATTTGCCATGTTTTATTGAAATCGGTTAACGGAAAGTGGGTGAAATCCAATAAACCGGATTCAGTTCCTAATTTGCCACCCTTAGAGGTGGAATATTTACTTCAAATGTGAATGAGACTATTACTGAGGTATACCATTTCCAACAAAAAAAGAAACATCGAAATCAATTCACAAACGGAGGAGTATCCGTTTAACGTACATGCAAAAAAATTAACAGTCGAATTGAGAACTTCCTCCTTTTTGGAAGTCAGTTAAAAATAGCGCTCAAGTGAATTTGGACGTTACAAATAATTCCTACTATAACTGTAACAAGAGATTGGAACTGTCTCCAAACAGACGTGGAACAGGATTGAAAGTTGTAGATACCTCTATCATCTATGTATATTCAAGTTGAATAAATAATTAAACCAGTTCTTGTCGTTGGCTCCAACAGTAATCAGGAATAACCAAGAACACAAAAAAATAGTTAAATAAGTACTAAAACATAAATGTAAGTCTGCTAAATGATTATTAATAAAATCATATACTACAGCACACGCAAGATTACACCTAAAAAATTAAACAACAGCTTCCTGATAGTAATCAACAATTAGTTTCGACATCGTCAGTGTTTTTTGTCTAATTTCATAGTAATGGAATACGATAGATACATAATCGAGGAAAACATTGACAAAAAAAAATGATTATTCATCCGTGTTATCGACAGTGAGACCAGTCAATAGTGCAATAACTGGCCCTGAGCGGAGGTCAAGCTGACGAATTCCTCCAACTAATTCTACAGTGTGATCAAACAAAGCACTTAGACATGAGTTTCGATTACCTCGGTGCTATTAAAAAGTTCGTGAGAACCCTTGTGTTACTTAAAAAAAATTGTGTTATGTAGTCTTATTTCCTATATTTATTTCCAAATATCTGTACTGTAGAGCTCTACGTATACGTTCATAGCAACTATCAACCCATTTTTACGTCCCACTTTTGGGCTCAAGTCTCCCCCAAGGCGAGGGTTTAAGACCATAGTCCACTACGCTGGCCCAATGCTGCTTGGCGACTTCCCACGTTTTCCGACGGTTGTAAACTTTCTGCGTTTCCTCACGATGTAAAAAACGATGTAATAATTTCACCTAAAAGCTCATGGTGCATTTGATATTAAATAATATAAATTCAAACAGCCCAGATTTGAACCCACAGTCCTCTGGTTCAGAGGCGGTAGGTCAGACCATTACACTATTACACTTGAATGTTAGCAGTATTATAATAATTGTGATATATTTTCCAACAATGATGTCTTGTCTGATAAGTACTAAATAGTACATGTAACTAAATTTTTATTGAATGTCAGAATGTTTCATCACTATGATATTCAAATACTTTTTTGTGAAATTACTCACTAGTTTGTTATAATTATTAATACAAACATCGAAAACTTAGAAAAAATTCCTTCGGTCCGGCCGGATTCGAACCGACGTCTCCTAGCAAATCGTGCCAGACGCTATGCCAACTAAACCACGGTACGAACCAGAGGATCTCACGAATTTTTTTCTATGTGCTTGTTGTCGGATCTTTGTATTTGGTTTTCAACGACTTTTTAGCCGCTCATACAACATTTACGAATTACTGTAATATCAACAACTGCTAAAGGTATATATATATTAAATTCGAACTACGATACGGTGGAAGACTCATTAAATTTTAAAGATAATTAACAAAGCTCGAGCAAGGTGAATAAAACGTTATTGACTTTGGAATTACGATTGTTTATCACCCGCTAAATTATTTAAAGCAAGTTGTTTAACCGGACGAAATTTGTTTTTCGATTCAGTGACCCAACATAAAACAGGGGCCGGTTGGCGCGAGCGCAACGGTAGAATGCGAGGCTTATGCAAATAGTACAAGCAAGATAGAACAGAATGTGTACCTAAGTGTGTAGTCCCGTTATAGAGATGTTCTTCTACGAAATTAATTTATATTTCTAACGTTTTAACAGATCGTGCGTGATCGGTTGCTATAATTTTAGAAAAGTGCAAGTAGGTCGCTAAAAATGTCTTTATAATATTTGCTATGGTCAATAAAGCACCGTCTGTACCAAATAAGTGAACTTGAGTTAATTTAAATGAGTTGTACAATGGAAGCACTAGTAACATTGGTTAAGCAGGCCGTGACTAATTAACTAAATACCGTAACGTCATTTAAGACAGATTACGTCTAAGAAATGTAATTTTAGAAAAGATATATTAGCATATTTATAAATAAAATTTTATAATATCGGTCTATGGTGATAATACAGCGGAGGTGTTTAATAATGCGTGCGGTGTACTATCCGCGTTACCTATGCAAGTCATGCGCACGCACCTCCATCCATTCACTTCGCTCAGCCAAAGCTTTACTTGGAACCTCAAACAAAGCTATACAATTGTACCTCAGTCTTATGGTTGTCAAATGTAATAGTAGAGCAGAGAGCCAACTTACATATCAATGGCTTTCTAGAATAGCACCCCATCACAATATAACCTAAATTATTAGGAAGATGGTTTAAAACGTCTGCGGAATATCTAAACTGCAAAGCAAGTGAATTCTATACAGGCTCATGTTCTCACGTGATTATTTTAAAGAATAATAAGTTCGGTGCTATTTTCACAATAAAATTTAGCTCATTCTGAGTGCATCTGTGTATTAAGACAAAAATAAACAATTTTGATTGACAGCGATATACGTATGTAGTATGCATGTATCTTCAATACAGGCTAGGGAATTGAATGCAAAATATAAGATTTAAATTTTCATGGCTGTTTAAATATTTTTTGATATATTTTTTGCAATGAAATGATCAAGTTCTGCTAGATACACTTTTACGGTTTTTAGATAAAGTAGTTGGAAAATTGATCTTATAATTTTGGGCGTACATAGATATCATTGTTTAAATACAAAATTTACTTTTACAGCGGGCTGTACATCTATATTCTGCCAGTAATCTCCTACGTCTGTAAACTTCGGTTGTATTAATTATATTAATATAACATATTATTGACAATGTAAATATAATAATGTTCTTTTAAAAGCAATTTTCAATCCAATGACGAGACGTTTCGCTTGCTTATTATTTTACGTCCACGTTACTCTGGTCTGTTATTAGTAATGCAGGTTGCCTTGCTACGTACTTGTGGGTTAATATTTTATAAGTACCTAGACACGTATATTGTTTTTGTAACTGTCAGCATTTTTGAGAGCAAATCAATAATTTTTACTGTAATCAGAATTATTGCGGTCCTTTTTTATTTAATTTTGATTAAACTTTTCTCCATGGTTTTATTTGTCTTCTTCTTTTGGTGCTACTTTATGGTTGCAAACAACGTATGAATCAAAAGTACATAAGATCATTGATTAATATATATAAGCTTCATTAATTTTAAAATTTTAGTAAATAGAACAGATTCTGTCTTTTGCTGTGCCCTGTGTGTGTGTGTGTACAGGGTCCATAACGATCTTAAACATGTTACTTACCACCTCGTATATGACATTATGATATGTAATAAAGGATTGAGTACCTATTTACCAAGAAGTACTAATTTTGACCCTCTTTAACAAGGATGGTTGGTACTCCAGGTACGACATGAATACATCACAATGCGTAAGTTTTTTTTATAAAGTGCGTCAAATTGAATATAGATATTAAAGCTATTTTCATTCTTACTGCTTCAAATCTTTTTTTAGAGATATTTTGTACGGCATACTTGAATTATTGCGTGGTAGTGCCTAATTCTAATGAAAAATTTTTTATTTGTTACAGATGTACTGACAGCCATGGCTTTTCCATCAGTAAGGACTTATTAGTAGGAGCTTGAGTGCAAATTGTGAAAATAGTGATTGAGTGAAGATGCACACGATGGACACCATGGGCTACGGCCACAAAAAATACCGGCCGCCGATTTCGCCCACCAGTTTCTACCAACACGATCTTTACTCTAGGCATACTACATTGCGCCCTCAGGTATGTGCAATTTATTCACGTATTTACAAAAGATTATTTTACTTTTGGGAAGTACCTATTTCTATATATACGAATACAACTTTACTTGATTCTATTAATAAATAGGTAAAATTTACACAGACAACGACAAAATGTGAAAATTTAAAACCAAACACACGAAATTAGTAAAATAAGTTAATAATGATAATTACGCACACACTCAACATAACCCCGCACTAGGGAAATCCTGCCGTGGACACACACATAGACAACCACAAATTACACCCAAACTCACTAGAGAAATAAATGTAGGCCATACAAATATTTCTCCACGCCCGGAAATCAATCCTGGGACCTCTGCGTGGTCGAATGGTAACCGTTCGGCCACTGAGGCAGTTATTTACAGTTCGATAGGACAGTAATATATGCATAACATATACAATCGCACATCATCAACAACCTATTCCCACTGCAGGGCACGGGTTTCCTTTTAGGCGAAGGTTTAGGCCATAGTTAGCCACACTAGCATTGAGCGGGTTGGGGACTTTGTTCGTATTCCAAGGATTGTGAACTTTCTTCGACATGCAGGTGTTTCCCTGCACTGAAAAGCTCGTGGTAAATTTCAAATTAAAATTCGCACATAAATTCCGAGAAACTCAGAAGTGCGAGACCGGATTCGAACTCACGGCCTCTGTTTGAGAGGCGGTAGGTGAAACCATTAGCAATCAAGTCCTTTTGCAATTCGTACAAAATACGAATAGAAAATTTGAAAAGTCAAGAAAATTTGATCGCCATTAAGTAAAGTAATCATTTCACTAACCCATCACTATACTATTACATCACTAACCCAGTTCACAAACGGTATTAGTTGTAACACGTTCCCACCTCTGACCACATAACGGACATTATACGGAAAGCATTAATCGCCGCAACGTAATGTAATTATAACGTGAGCCGATCTTTATTTGGCTGTCGTTTCGACTGCAAAGGAAATAAGGGAGTTGGATATCCAGTGTGTCACAACTCCCAGTAACATTTCCTTGCTAGTGTTTGCGACATATTAGTGACGCGTTGTTGCTTATGTCTTCTTTATATACAATTAACTGCCTCTGTGGCCAAACGGTTACCACGCCGGACTGCCACATAGGTTCGACTTAATATTCAAGGTTCGATTCCCGGGTCGGGAGAAATATTAGGGGTTAAAGTATGAAATTGCCGTTTTATTGCAATAG